TTCGAGAAAGAAGAGCAAGCCAAGTTGCTTCAATTCGTCACTGGTACGAGCAAGGTGCCCTTGAATGGATTTAAGGAACTTGAGGGCATGAATGGCTTCTCCAAGTTCAACATCCATCGTGACTATGGCAGCAAAGATCGTCTACCATCTAGTCATACTTGCTTCAATCGTAAGTCGATTGCTAGAACCCTTACTGGATGCATACTAACTACTTTACAGAGCTGGATTTACCCGAGTATGAGACATATGAGGATCTTAGGAAAGCCCTTTACACCGCCATGACTGCTGGTGGTGAATACTTTGGTTTCGCCTAGACGAGCAGATTGCATGTTCTCCAAACAGCAGTTCATTCACAACAGTACTTTTCGAATACATTGTTACAACGGGTTGCATTGCAGGCGTAGCAAGGTGTGTATGGGATATACCTAGGGTAGTGCCAAAGAAGGCGCATGAACATTGGTAAGAGAAGGTCGATCAGCATAATTTCACTTCTGTATGAGTAGAGAAATTGAAGGGGTCCGCGCTGATAAGAAGCGAATGATGATTGCCTGAAAGAAGGGTCCGACGAATAGAAGATTGGGAGTGCAGGCCCGGTCTTTCTGACGTCGAACTAACTCTGGTTGGGCTGAAAGAGAGTTTCGTCTCATCTCTTGTTTTTGATACCATAGTTTGGTAGTAAATAGATAGTTTAAGTGGCTTTTTCTTCAACCTAACTTTAACTTCTTGGCCTTGAATCATGATATATCCAATCGTCATCTTTTTTGGCTACATGCACACGTCCAGCAATCTCACAATCTAGTGCTGAACATAAAAGAAAAGACGTCATCATCAGTACTCAAACGTCGCAGCACCCTCTTCCTCAAATGGCGTCTCGTACGGAGGTTCAGCCTGCGGCGTAATCCTCGCAACATGCCTGCGCGCCCCATCATCCCAATCCAACAGCGCCGAATGCGCAGTCACACGGTTATCCCACACCACGACCGTGCCCGGCGCCCACTTGACCCGAACCTGGAAGTCCTGTCCTTTAGCAATGTGATCATAGAGGAAGTTGAGCAGGTACTCGCTTTCCTCCTTTTTGAAGCCGACAATGCGCCTGCTGAACTGGGGGTTTACGAAGAGTGCTTTTTCGCCCGTGGCAGGGTGCGTGCGGACGAGTGGGTGGATCGAGGTTACGGGGTCGCGGCGGACGATGCCGCCTCGGAGTTTGCTGCTTTCGGCTTGTTCGACGGCTGTGTTTGTATGTGTTAGTTTACCTTTGCTTTTCCCCTTTATCTTGTTGTATGTATGTATGTGTGTTTTGGGTGGTTGGTAAGTTACTTACCTGAGTGCACAACTTTGAGTCCGTGCAACCTCTTTCTAAATTCTGGACTCAATCGTTGGTACGCGGCGGCTTGGTTGGCAAAGAGCGTGTCGCCGCCTGCCTCTGGGCCATCGAGAATGTACAGGAAGGTTGTGCCAGGGGGCTGCTTCTCGTAGGTTACGTCGGAGTGCCAGGCGACGGAGTTTGTGCGCTCTTCGAAGAAGTCACGGACGGAAGTGTCGTCTGTGCCGCGGTGCACCAGGTGGACTTCTGGGTAGCCTTCTGGGGCTCCTGAGGTAGGGTGGATGTGGTGGCGGCCGAAGTAGCCGCCGATTTCGAGTGCGTCTTTGATGGGGATGTCGGCAAAGTCTTGGTCACGGAAGGCGACGACCTTCTTTTTGGCGACGAAGAGGGCGAGTTCGTCTTTTTGGGCGTTGGTGAGCTGGCTCAGTTGGACGCCGTGGACTTCAGCGCCGGTGTTGGCAGTTATGTCATGGACGGTGGCATTCTTGAGGAGGTTGGGGAAGGTTGGGTCGGCGTCTTTGCCGTGCTCGACGTGGGTGAAGGGCTCCCAGGGGGGTAGTCTGGGTGAGAAGTCAGTATCGGGAATAAGTTGCGAGGTTGTGTAGGTACATACTTTTGTCCCTTCTCATTGTCCCAGACAGGCAGGTAGTGAGGGTATTTAGCAGGCGAGTGCTTTTCAGTGCCCTTTAGCTCAAGGTCCTTTTGAAAGAACTTGGGACCTCCTAGGCCAAACTCCTTGTATGCTCCAACACCAGACTTGTACTCTGTTGGCGGGGTTTCAATTACAGCTGGAGCCATGATGTTCCTTCGGAAATAACAGAAAATAACCTAGTAGGAAATCACTGTTGAGAATCTTACAAGGCTGGACTATGCCATCTAAACTAAGTTCTTATATATCTTTCTCGATTGAACTAAGCATACCCGCGGCTTCAGTTATCCAGCTGCGATGGCAAAATCGCCCAGCTGCCGAAGGATGAAGCCTGATAAGGACCCCGCTACAGATATCACAAGAGAACTTGATCGTCGCGTATCTATTCAATCAGGATGCGGTTGCATGGCATCAGAAATGGAGTGTATGGCCTCATCCTTGTGTCCAGATGTAAGCTAGACAAGATAGGCAAAAATCTTCCCAACAGTTACTTGCTTCGCAGCATGTAAGACCCCTCGTCTCGACATTGGACCGGCATCTGTATGCAGGCGTCAGTAAATGCTCCGACTGCGCCATCCCGGCTAGCCATGAGGGGATGTTGTTTGACGTGCTGCTTGTAATGTAACCAATGACGTAGATTCCGACACTACTAAACCTGAATCGATTGGTTGGAATAACAAGACCCTTGTCCATTGTACGAGGACGCGACATTTGGTAGAAGCCTTGCGTGCTCGAACGGCACGTGATAACCACCTCTGTTATTAGCGTGGTCTCATCCGAAATATGGTAACGGGAGATAAATGAGTGACAACGCCCTACGATTGAAAAACCTGTATCGGCAGTCATTCATCATGTTTGTATTCGCTGTCTGCCCAAACTTTAAGCATGTTCCAACAGGGTCTTTCGAGAACAAAGTTTCGGACCGAAGGGCGGAAATGGGGCTGTAAACCACGGTCTTCCTGGCAAGCTGCAATCGCCTTGAGTTTATGAAGCGTTGCCCACAATGAAATCGCGTAAAATGCATTCCTATTTTTCGCCTAAGTTCCTGATACCGAGGGTTTTGTTGGAAAATGGCAACTTTAAAGCCGCTGGATAGCTTGATTGCGGGCGACAAGGCCAACTCTACCATGGCGGCAGGCATTAGCAACAAGGAAATGGAAACTCACAAAGAACACGGAAAAGAAAAGCATAGCTCAGCATTTATGTCAGAAGGCCTTGCGAGAGACCACTACAAACCCATCACGACATATGAGGGCATTCATCGATATGATCCAGACTTTGAATGGGAGCCCGCAGAGGAAAAGCGCATCGTACGAAAGGTAGCTCGTCCACTCACCCGCCCACATCAACCCAAAATCTCACACTACCACCTTTTAGATCGACATACGCATCTGCTCCTGGGTCTGCCTCATGTTTTTCGCCCTCCAGCTCGACCGCGGCAACATATCGCAAGCCCTCAGCGATAACATGCTCGGCGACCTAGGCCTCAACACCAACGACTACAACTACGGCCAAACGACTTTCTACCTCTGCTTTTTATTCGCTGAATTGCCGTCGCAACTCATTAGCAAGAAACTTGGGCCCGATAATTGGATCCCGATTCAGATTATACTGTGGAGTTTGGTGGGGAGCCTGCAGGCGTTTCTGAGTGGGAAGAAATCATTTTATGCGTGTAGAGGAATCCTTGGAGCGATAGAAGGTGGCTTCATCCCCTACAGTATTCTCTATATGAGTTACTTTTACACGGGGCTCGAACTACCGGGTCGCATGAGCGTGTACAGCGCAGTCCCCTTTGCGACGAACATCCTCGCTGCGTTTCTCGCATTCGGCATTTTGCGTCTAAGAGGCTACAACGGGATGGAAGGGTGGCGATACCTCTTCGCTATCGAAGGCCTCATCACGGGTTGCATCGGTATAGCGTCGTGGTTCTATCTTCCTGCGAGTCCGACGCAGACGGCGATGAAGTTCTGGAACCCGTTTCGCGGAAAGGAGGGCTGGTTTAGTGAGAGGGAGGAGAAGATTATGGTGAATAGGATTTTGAGGGATGATCCGAGTAAGGGGGATATGCACAATCGTCAGGGATTGAGCATAGTGATGTTGTGGGAGTGCATGAAGGATTACCATATGTTGCCTATCTATTTGATTGGCATGTCGTGGTTTATTCCAAGTCAGCCTTCGAATGCGTATATTACGCTTCAGCTTCGGTCGCTGGGGTTTAACACTTTTAAGACGAATCTGCTGACGGTGAATTGACATCTCGTCCATCATTTTCGACAATCACTGACAAATAGCTAGATCCCAGCATTCGTTATTATAATCATCCAGATGATTTTCTGGACATGGATGTCTGAACGCACCAACCAGCGTTTCCTTGTCGCTCTCGTGTCGCAAGTCTGGTGCTTGCCGCTTCTCATCGCTCTTGAGGTCTTGCCAGCAGATGCATCGCATTGGTCGCGTTGGGCCCTATGTACCCTGCTTGTTGGGATCCCTTTCATTCACCCTATCTTCATGGCTATCACATCGCGCAACGCCGGCACAGTGCGCACACGAACGGTCGCTTCGGCGCTGTACAATATGACGTTCCAAGCCAGCACAATCGTGTCACAGAACGTATACCGCCAGGATGATAAACCATTATATCGCAGGGGAAATAAGATTCTGATTGCGATTTGTGTTTATAATTTGGTGCTATTTGTGGCGGCGAAACAGTATTATGTTGTTGTTAATAGGAGAAGAGCTCGCGTGTGGGATGGGATGACGAAGAAAGAGAAGGAGACGTATTTGCAAACTACGACGGATAAAGGGAACAGGAGGTTGGAGTTCCGATTTGCGCATTGATTGGGGATGAAGGCGGGGAAGTAGAGACAGAGATTTCCTTGAATGGAATCTAGGAGTAGTGATACTCATGTGATTTAGTAAGGGGTCAACCTAATTCCCTGATTGGAGATTTACGCCTATTGAAACTAGGGATCTTTGTATATTGAATGCTATGTTGACTTCCTGATAATATTGTAGCTTTGATGAGAATTATTCACCCTCGTCCTCGGTTGCGATTGCCAGATTATTCATCAAGATTCCATCTGCGTTCAGGAACCCAACATCCGCTCTGACCTTCCCATGCAGATCCTCGTCGTCTTCTTTAGCTTTGTCCTCGCCATCCAGCGTAGTAGCCATAGCACTTATATCCCCCTCAAATGTTTCTCTGAGCCTTATCTCACAGGCCGCGCAGAGTCTCAGGCCACAACCGTCAATCTCATCATCTTCGGAAACCAGTGATGACTGACGCTTACAACAGGCGAGTACTGCAGGTGAAAAGCACATAGAGCACCATCGTAGTAACTGCTTTTTGGTTGTAGCGGGGTCTTCCTCTGTAAGCAAATCATCGAGAGTCTGTGCAAATTCCACGGTAACAGTGTCTGGGTATATGCGTTGAATGTTATGATTGTCGCACGATATGATCTGTAACCGGTCTACATGGTGTTACAATTAGCAAAGATCGAAAGTGACCGGAAGTAATACGTACCTATTGCGCATGACCGGCACATGCTGGTTTGATCGTTCTCAGTCTGACCGCCGCCTATATGTGTATATCCACACCCGTCCTCCCAGCGTATGCAGTACACCTCTTGCTCAAAATAGCCAACAAAGCTAAATTCGGCCATATTGCAGAAGCTACAGTCCAAGGTATCAACATCTCCAACACCGACACCGAATTGAATTGGATGTGTGAAACTAGTCTTCATCTGAATGACTTGGCCCCTGTTTCCAGCCGTGTCTTCGAGAATGTCTGGGCTTGGAGAGCGCGACACTACTGGTTGTATCCACAAAGCTTCCGGAGTAAGGTAGTCGCTGAAGCGGGGCTCAACAATACGGGGCGGTTTCTCGGCTTTGCCTTGCTCTTGCCCTATAGATGGTGAGGTCTTAGACTTTACTTTATTCTTGCCTTTGGTGGTTTTGCGGGTGGCAGTGAATTTGCGAGCATTACGGGCATTATGCGTCTTGCTCGTCTTGCTCGCCTTGTCCAGCTTGCTCGTCTTGTCCGCTTTGCTCGCCTTGCTACCTTGCACCTTGCTACCTTGCGCCTTCACGGGAACCTTTTTAGGAAATTTCACAGCGTAAGTCTTATTCTTCTTAGGGGTACGCTTTTCCTTGAACGGATCAAAGTTCCCTGACGTATCCTGGTCCAAGAAAGTATATGACCTGTTCTTTTCGGTTCTTTTGCGTAGAGCGTATGCGATCTGGTGAAATAAGCACATTTGAATGACATGGCTGATGGAAAAACACTGACCTGAGTATCGGGTATGTCAGGAAAGTCCTCTTCAAATGGCGTCGGTGAGGTTCTTAGAGTAATGCTATCGTTGTTTGAAAGGCCATCCAGGTCTTCTTTGTCAATGCTCCCTATGTTTCCTGTGTCGATCTCACTCTCTGAAGGAGATGCGTCATTTATGTCGGCCATCGTATCCATACAACGTGGTGCAGGCAAGTGGGGTAGTAAAGAGGTGATGGTCAAGTAGGAAAATTGAAGCTTCCTGACTTCATACCATACAGTTATGGAAGCTAGTTAGCTTCAGGGTGAGTGGGTCAAGGGCGGTAAGCTACTATCTTGCAAACCCAGGTGAGGGGAATGGACCAGACCAGTCTCCGGCTATGGGGTTTCCAATGAACAAGTGATGTCAACTATCATGGGTCATGTTTACCTTCGGCACTATCTTTGGATTTTAATGAACCAAAATTCGTAATTGGCAGATAAGTATTGTATCACAGACCTTAGTGGTTGGACTATACTGTCTTTCGTACTAACGTAGTCGCCGTAGCAAGGTTGGCAATGGTAAGAACAATGATTTTTCTGGTGCATGCTTGAAGCTGTCACTTTTAGAGAGAAGGCATTAGATGCCATCCGCTGATATTTTCTGAATTTATCATGTTACTTGAGTATTTCTATTGAGCTTTCCCAGTACACTGTTTGGCGATGGTGCCCTTCCTGAAATGTGGCTAGTCAGCATGGCGCTAACACAGACCACGTACAAAGAAACCAGCGGCAGTGTGTCCGCCAGCTCCTTGATACACTTCGCTTACATCCCGCCATGAAGCTCAACAATGCGCCCCGTCGCCCATGGAGGGCAACATGGCGCGATCAATACGCCTATTTCTGATCCGCCACGGAGAGACGGTTGACAACATTGCCCAAGTATAGTAAGCACATCATCAACTCGTCCTCTTCACAACACTCAATGCTGACTGTTCCAGTGCAGGCAGTAGGGATTCGGCCCTCACCAATCATGGCTACCAACAGGCCATCCGTTTAGGCCTATACCTCCAGTCCTCCGGGCTGACTTTCACCCACTTGTTCTCGTCGCACCTGCAGCGGGCTGTGAAAACAGCTGGCAAGATACGCGAGGCTCAGTTGGCACCAGTAGGCGACAATGGGACCGTGAGAGCGGCTCCCAAGGTTGTGCAGCTACCGGTGTTGGCGGAGAAAGATTTCGGATCGATGGAGGGAAAGAAATCCAACAGTCGTCCATTTGAGACGAGTGCTTCTGGCAAGGACCATCGTCGACAAGAGAATACGCCTACGGCTGGTTTCGCGGACGCCGAATCGAAAGAAAGTATGGCACGTCGGGCAGATGCCTTCATCGAGGAATACCTTTTGCCTCTGTTCGACGACTCTTCTAGCAACTTTACCCCTGTTATTGCCATCGTTTCGCACGGCATCTTCCTCTCCACTCTATGGAAGCGCATACTGTTGCGTATTCCGCGTCGGAAGGTATGTCTGTCTCATAGTATTGAAGGGACGGTACGACAATCGCTAGAGCGTCTGGGTGGCTGGTCAAATACCGGCTATCTTGAGTTGTACTTCACGAGGACGGAAGCCGAATACCACAAGTCAATCATGGAGGCAACTACGATGCCAATCACAACATCTCCAGAGTTGATTACTGGAACTTCAACTGCGCCTCAAAATCTTCGCAATGGCCATATACCAAAATCGAGAGCAGAAGGTGCCGTACAGCTGGTGATTGGTGCCCCGCAAACCTCTAGGCCGCGTGGCCTACAAGGATGGTCTACGTTCATTCTCAGAGTCAACAGCAAGGATCACCTACAAGGCCTTAAACGCACGCGTGGCGGTGTTGGTAGTTTACGTTACGACGCGTCACAGAGGTGCATCGATACCTTTTTCAAACGTCGTAAAGTCGAATGAGGGAGTAAGTCCAACCGTTTCCTGTTCCCATTCCTTCGCATATGCAATGATGAAAAAACATTTAATCACAGACCTGATCGGAATTCGCTGTCGACCAAAATTTGTATCCAACTGCTGTCTGATTGCAACTACGATTTTCTGTCTCATGTTCATGTATCTTCAAGACACGGGCTGACAAAAAACATTACAGGTTTTAGGCCGAGCTGCCATGGCTTGAATTAGCTCGAGCAACATTAATAAATAACAATGCACTTCTCTGACCTCCTAAACTTTCTTGATTCGTGATTGTGATCTTTCCCCGTGTCCTTGTCGTTACCCTTCCAAAAGGAACACTGCCACGGCCCCGCTATCCACATGCGAAGCCTACACTTGACGCCAGTTGCCGAGTTCAATGACTGCGCCCGGCGGTGTATCTGTTCAGTGACTATCCCACATGTGCGTAGGCGACATGCTTTGGTAATTTACAAGTCTCATTACATGTGCAAAGTGGTGTGTTCGTGTCACGCCGCCATGTTTGCTGAGTAGCCTTTGCGTGGAAAAGGCCCGTGCAAATGCCATCACATCGCTCACCGCACCATCACAACACCTTGGCGGTCATGCCCTGCGCCCAAATAGATAAACCGGAGGGTTTCGGGTCAACTCCGGTGGCGGCGTGCAGGCACTGCGCTACGATGAACGTAGTCGCGTGCGACATCGTGTTTCCCGGCGGCAGGTTTTGGTGGGTGGCTGGTACGCGCGAGATCCCAGCCTCATCGCAACTGCTCCGGCCTTGGAATAGAGTTTTCCTCGACCTTTTCTGGTATTAATACAAAGGGCCCCAGAGTTAATCTTGGTCGCGACTAAAATAAGTCCCAAATTCTCCGTTCGCTGATTTGCATTTTTTGGAAGTGAAGATTGGACCGTGAAAATCAGCGCCTGGCCAATAGGAGCGCCACACAGGTCGTGCGATCAGATTTCCACACTCGTTCATTATGAGAAGCCCTTCAGTATGGATGCTGAGCGCGATGTCGACGCGTGTACTCGGTAATGTCGTGCAGAAGGCCTATGAGATGAATGCAAGTAAGTCAGCCGTATACGTTCTGCTATTATGAAGGTCAAGATTACTGACCTCCACAGCTACATCTGCTGTAATCCTACCTCCATATCCATCTGGCTCAAGGGCACCTGTTCTACTATCATCAACACAGCTATGCGAAACATCAACGAATCCTTCGGTTCAGTTCACAGCAAGCATCGTTCCATACCCGAGTGTATCGCCAACAACTAGCTCTTTTCCCACTCCGACAGCAATGTCGGTATCTACTAGTTCACGTGTCCTTCTGGATGTACGCCCTCTGACTGTTACGACCATCCCAAGCGGTACCAATACTCCGTCATCAGCCTTTGGGTCAGCCAGTTCCTCCCAGGTCGCGTTCACACCCATTGTTGTGCCAGCTTCGACAGCCAGCTATACCATAGACCTCCCAGTCCTTTCCTCTATATTAATACCCGGTCTCACGCCACCGGCCATTTCGACACGGACTGCGACAGCGAGTACTACCACCAGCCAGGGTTTGTCCACTTCTCTTCCGACACCTTCAGGTTCCGCCTCAAGTGCGTTGGCTACTACAACGACTTCAGTCGCTGTTGCATCCTCAATCTCAGTTGCATCCTCAGCTGCATCCTCAGTCTCAGTATCCTCAGGCTCAGCTACCTCCTCAGTCGCGATTACATCCTCGGGCTCAATAACATCATCAGTACTTTCTGGGACGTCTACAATTGAATTCCCTACCTCGCCACCTTTTTCGTACAACCCCTCCGCTTCTAGAGGTTCAGCTACTCCTATCTCAAGGCCTACACCAGAGCCATCCAATGCCATCGTCGCTGGATCCACATTGAGTACATCATCAACGGCTAGCCCGACAGCAGAAACCGAAATCCCACCTGCACCACCTGCACCAAGTGCTGCCGGAGCTCCTGGTGGTTTGAGTAGCAGAGGCAAAGAGATAGTATGGTGGGTTGCTTTCTTCGTTCCGTTCCTACTTGCAGTATAAACCGGCGCATATCATATCGACGTTATGTGCTATGAGAGGTTACTTTGTGTTTCCTAGATTTGATATTCTCACGATGTTGCCGAAATCCTTTTATGGGCAGAGTTATGAAGAGATGGTTATACCAGGTGCTAGCACCATGCAGGCGTTTGTTGGAGTTTTGTTTTTCAGGTTTAGTTGACGAACGAGATGGACGATGCGTGCATGAGATACTTCACGATATGAGAAGAACTTCTGTGGTTTGCCAAATGGCATATAATTTATGAATAAATACAGTATCTATGATAAGAAGAAACTCCGTTAAGTCTTCTCATCTCATATCACAACTCAGAAATGCCTTCATCTTTCAGTAGCTCGGTTGCATGGATTGCAGACGTTTCCCCGCGGCCATGTACAGCTGCGAGTCTGTGGCAGAGCTCCCGGAACCGCTTCCTAGTTCCCGTGAATCTTTAGGAACTGCATACGATCTCCTGATATAGTTCTAGTGTCAAGTACTACGAAGTATGGGAATCCGGGGTTACCCAGAAACAAAGAGCATTGCTGGTCGAAGATCTCGGGCTTGGAAGCGGGGGAGGAGCGGCTTCGGCTAGCGCAGCCACCAGTTCTTCCGTCAATCAAACCAGGAGCTACACCCTATTCCTGTCACCCTCTTTACGGATTATTGGCACACCATCCAATTCAACTCCCAGATTTAGTAAATTTGGGACAATTAATGGACTTAAAACATTTCTTTTAGTAGTTTTCCACAGAAACTAGCACTCATCAAGCTCAGGTAAACTTCACAGTCAGGTGCGACGTCATCACTGACTTCAATGCCAATGACATTGCATCTATCATTACCCATTGAGCCGGTACCTTAATATACAGCGACCATGTCGGGAGACATTTGTCCGCGGTGCATCATTGAGTTTGTGTACATCCTCCCACCGGCCCGCACACCCTGGTGGGAACGTATAAGAACCGTGGTACCTTGTCTATAACCTATTGTCTAGATAAGCTATACTCGTGTTTCAATTTAAGATGCGCTCGCCTCTCTACAGCGCAGCCTCTCTTCTGGTTGGGTATATTCTATACCTTCCCAGTAGCGCTGACGGTCTTGCCCGAAGAAATGACACGGCACAGGCAGTATACAAGGACGCTGCTGCTCCCCTCGAGGACAGGGTCTCTGATCTTCTTTCGCGGATGACGATTGAAGAGAAGACTGCTCAACTCATTCAAGGCGATATCTCAAACTGGATCAACACTACCACCAATGCCGTCAACCAGACAGGTCTCGAGTGGAACTTTAGGGTCCGCGCAGGTCAGTTTTATGTCGGCTATCCCATGCCGGCAGAATGGATCAGCAATGGCATCAAGATCGGCCAGGAATACCTCAAACAAAACACAACCCTAGGCATACCGGCGCTGGTTCAGACTGAGGCTATACACGGCTTACTGGTGGGAAATGCGACTATCTACAACAGCCCTATTGGTCAAGCTTGCTCGTTTGACCCGGAATTAATCCACGAAATGGCTGTGGCTATCGCAAAGGAGTCGCTAGCTTTGGGTATCAACCAGTTGTTCGCACCACTCGCCGATTTGGCACGAGAGTTGCGTTTTGGAAGAGTAGAAGAAACATATGGCGAGGACCCCTTTCTGGCCGGAGAGATGGCTTACGAGTATGTCAAAGGCGTGCAAAGCCTCAACGTAAGCGCTACTGTGAAGCACTTCGCAGGCTTCAGCGCTCCTGAACAAGGTCTAAACACCGGGCCAGTCCATGGAGGTGAACGAGAACTTCGAACCACATGGCTTCCACCTTTCCACCGTGCCATTATTGACGCTGACGCTTGGAATATCATGGGAGCATACCATTCGTACGATGGTATACCTTCAATTGCCGATGGCCATCTTCAAGAGACAATCTTGCGCGACGAATGGGGCTACAAGTACTGGCTGACTTCAGACGCCGGAGCTACGGATCGCCTTTGCTGTGCCTTCAAACTCTGTCAATGCAAGACTAAAGATAAGCCAATTGACAGCGAAGCTGTGACTCTCATGGCTCTTCCGAACGGCAATGACGTGGAGATGGGTGGTGGATCCTACAATTACGCAAACATCCCTCGCCTGGTGGAAGAGGGAAAGCTGGATATCGAAATTGTCAACAGGGCAGTTAGTCGTCAACTGCGCGCCAAGTTCCGGCAAGGACTCTTCGAACATCCATACCAAGGTCTCCCTCTGGATGAGATAGACTCTGCCATTCACACTGACGAGCATGTTGCACTTGCACGGAAATTAGAGGCCGACTCAATTGTCCTGCTAGAGAACAAGAACAACGTACTGCCACTTTCTAAGTCTGCCAATGTCGCTGTGATCGGTCCCATGGCCAACATTACAAACCTTGGCGACTACGTCGTATACCGTTCCCAGTACAACCCCACAAACGTCACGCCTCTGCAAGGAATCCAAAAGGCATCAAATGGCACCGTAACCTTTGCCCAAGGCTGCGAGCGCTGGTCAAACGACCGATCCGGATTTCCCGACGCAGTTGCAGCAGCCAAGGCAGCTGATGTCGCAGTCGTCGTCGTCGGCACTTGGTCGCGCGACCAGCAAGAACTCTGGCAAGGTCTCAACGCCACAACCGGCGAGCACGTCGATGTCGCATCGCTCAATCTCGTCGGCGCTATGGGTCCTCTCGTCCAAGCAATCATCGAAACCGGAAAACCCACAATCGTCGTGTACTCTTCTGGAAAACCCGTCACAGAGCCTTGGATCTCGGATAACGCGGCGGGGCTCTTGCAAATGTTTTATCCTGGTGAGCAGGGTGGAAATGGTCTAGCTGATGTGCTGTTTGGTGACGTTACACCTTCGGGCAAGCTATCCGTTTCATTTCCATATGATGTTGGAACTCTGCCGATCTTCTACGACTACCTGAACTCTGGTCGATCGACTGATCCCGGTGCGATACTACCGAACGGGACGCTCAAGTTTGGCCACCAGTACGTCCTCAATACCCCGCAGCCGCTTTACGAATTCGGATACGGTCTCTCGTATGCGAACTTTACATACTCCGATGTCAAGCTTTCCAAGACAGAAGTGAGCCCGAGCGATACCGTGACTGTGACTGTCAGCGTCACGAACTCTTCACCCATCGATGGTAAAGAGGTTGTGCAAGTTTACGTTCAGGACTTGTTCGCTAGTGTTGTTGTGCCGAACAAGGAACTCAAGGGGTTCAAGAAAGTGCTGGTCAAGGCGGGGGAGACAGTGGATGTTTCTATTGATTTGGAGGTGTCGAAGTGGGGGCTTTGGGATAGGAAGATGAAGTATGTGGTTGAGAAGGGGGATTTCATCGTCCATGTGGGGTCTAGTTCGTTGGATTTGAGGGGGAATGGGACAGTGACTGTTGTTTGAAGTGGGGTGTGAATGATAGTATCACTAAGAGTGAAAAGAAGAAGGGTGTCCGCGGCATGCATCCAAAAATAAAAGTATCTATTGACTCTATCTGTGAGTTTATAATCGGTGACATTCGATGTAATTCTGGCGATCATCCTTGTTGAAAAGAAAGAGGAAATAGGAATGTGATGTATTCAACATTTGATGCACATGTGGCTTCACTTGTCTCATTCCTGTCAAAATGGTCCCCGAAAGTAATTCAATCCTAATCCACCTTCGTTCCTCCCTGGTTTTTTATTACAAAACTGGCAATATCCTCCCTACCAGAATTCATCATGCAAACACCAACAAACTTCTCCTGCTTGTCCCAATTCAGCCTTATGGGAATACGTACTACACGTGGAAAAGGCATCACGATGCCGAAGTCTAGATCTACCTGAAAACTCCTTGGTTGGGATATTCGAAGAAAAAGGGAGGCGTATGGAAGGTCGTGCACTAGTGAAGGGCGTTCAAGGGTTCGGAGCAGCCGCGAAAGACTAAAGCGCCCAATCAGGCGAATCCTTCGGTAGCAAGTGCGACTCCACAAGTGGCAAGGGGTCTCATTTGTCGCTGTTGATTTCGGGGGCGTCAGTGGTGGTATTTGATTGGACTGGCTGTTGAAGACAGGGCTGTTCGCTTGCCCCGACTATCTGGTAGGTAGTCTGAATTCTTTGACTCATTGGCATTAGTATGTGAAATTAGTCTTTTTGAAGAGACATTAGGGAGTCTTTCCTGTCTCGCTTGGTTGTGTATTCCGATGCTGTGATTTGTTTAGGGAGCGTTTAGAGAGGATCTGGTGTTGAATATGACGGAGACGTAAACTGTCTATAGCGCCAACGTAAGCTTGCTGTTCAGCTCGATCAATCGCATTCTTGAAACATTTAGCTTCGCTCCCCTTTGCGGACCGAGCCGCACTGGTTGGTCGTGGGTTCGTGATGCTTGGGTAGTCGACCCCAACACAGGCAAGAAGATAACCAAAGCCGGTACCTTACTCCCACCCCCTAACTACGAAGCAATCGGTGCCAACACCCAGATCGATCTCACTCAGTCTCCGTGTTTGCATGCAAATACCACTTCGAGCAACCCCTCAGCTTTTATTGCCTGCCTAGTATGCTTTGCAACAGTGCGTAAGCTTGCTGTGTTGCTCTTGCTAGGTAAGGCTTGGTTGGCGACATTTGGTAGATCTGCAATGGAATACCTCGCTTCGAAGAGACTTTTATTATATATGTCAATTCACTTTGCAAAAAGTGTGTTGTGCATGTTAACTCTCGTGATGTAACAGGCATTGATCAAGCTGCAAGTCATTTCGACAAGCCATGAACAAAGTCTAGTAATAGGTTATTCCTTTCGATATCTCAAGAAAATACAAAACCCTCATACTCAGCAAAAGGTGCACTGCCTATTCGACAGCACAAGATGGGGATGAACTGCACCAGCCAGTCACCGCGATGCATTTCCGAATGGCGTTAGCATGCATCTAGTTCCAGATCTGGTGTCCATCTCGCTTAGAAGCGGCGCTGCATCCAACGGCCACAAGACTCGGACCCGTCGGCGACGACTGCGGAAGGGCTCTAAACGTGTATATCAGCAGATACAAAGGCAATCAATTACTTGTCATGTCCGATTGGAGCCATGGCAGCCGGCGGTGAAGACGTCGGAAAATGGCTGGAGCTTGCCCGTCGCAAAGCTTTGCTCAATGAGGAAACAACCTCCACGAATGCCCCGCGCCTAGTCTACCCACGACCACGACGACGAGGCCGAGAACGGCCCACTTATCAGGTCGACCGCTTTGGGAAATGAACTGGTTGATGTAATGGCCGATAGTATAAATACAATGCACAGTGGTAGTGCTTCTTCATCGCTGCATCAAACCTCTCTCACTTCATGCTCTGTGACGATAAGCATTGGATCTTGAACAACATGGCATCCAGCAAACCTTCATACCTCGTCGTCGGTGCTGGCGTTTTTGGCATTTCGACTGCCTACCACCTTATCAAGAAGTACCCTGACCGCCAAATCACCGTTGTCGACCAGGATGCTTGGGACGCCGATAATCGCGTCGCTGCGTCGTGGGATTGGAACAAAGTTGTGCGCGCCGACTACGATGATCTCATCTACTGCAGACTCGCCTTAGAAGCTCAGGATGTCTTCAAGGAGGACCCGCTCTGGAAACCCTACTTCCACGAGACCGGCATCTTCTGGGTCTGCCGCTCAGACTACGCACAAGAAGTCATTGACAACTACAAGAAGCTTGGCCGCCAGGCCGATCTGAAGTCCGTTTCCGTCGAGGAGGCAAAGAAGATGTTTGGTGGGCTTTTCGAGGAGGCCAACTACGACGGTGCTAAGAGTGTGCTCGTCAACAAGACCAGTGGATGGGCACAGGCTGGTGACGCTCTAAGAGCTGTTACCAAATGGTCAATCGAACAGGGCGTCAAGTACGTCACACAAAAGGTCGAGAGCTTGGAGTTTGACAACACCGGTCGCTGCACTGGAGTCAAGACCGAGCAAGGCAATACACTCTCAGCCACACATGTCGTTCTCTCAACCGGCGCGTACACAGCCAAACTTCTCGAGCAAGCCGCAAAGCGCAGTGGAAATGAAAACCTCCGTGCTGGATCAAGAATTGTCGCCGGTGGTATCACAACCGGCATGACCACTCTCGACGAAAAGTCCTACGAGAAATTCAAGCACATGCCAGTCGGTGTCCAAGGCTACACCGCTGCATACGGACCCTTCATTGGCAGCTTACCGCCCACCAAAGACCGCGAGCTCAAGTGGTGGGGCGAGAAGATATTCAAGAACACACACGAAGTCCTCCCCGGTCGCTTCGTTTCCGCACCGCCATCCGGAAAGGACTACAACCAGTGGGATGTGCCCGGCCCACTGAAACTCGACATTGCGCACGCCAACGACGTCTTCTACGGCAAGAAGGGCGCAAACTGGAAAATGGACAAGCACCGAATCTGCTGGTAAGTTGTCAATCCCTTCTACTATTCGTCGGATCTTCGTTCAAAACAAAAAATAAAAATAAAACTAACGAATACTCCAGGGACGCCTTCACCACCTCCTCCGACTTCATCATCTCCCCCCACGCCGCCGCAAAGGGTCTCTACGTCGCCACCTGCGGCTCCTTCCACGGCTACAAGTTCTTCCCCGTACTGGGCAAGTACGTCGTGCAGATGCTCGAAGACGACCTCGAGCCTGAGCTCAAGGAGAAGTGGGCTTGGGACCGTGAACGACCCGCCCCGAGTCTCAACCCTGACTGGCCGCGCTTCGAAATGACGGATCTGCTGGACCAGTGGCCAAAGGCTAAGTTGTAGGCGTGTTTTCTTCTTATAAGAGAGTGTATATTTGCAAGAAGCAGGCATTTAGCGTCACGAGGTTAATGATTATGCATGTGTGTGTAATTTGCATGGCGTTTTTGGAGTAGATTTGGCTGGTTATCCGGTTGGATAGATGTTATGAATGAATGAATATTTCGAGCTTTGTTTGAAGAGTGTTTTACCGTTTACTGTGATTCTCTTTGTTCAAGATTCGGAGTTGAATTTTTATCAGTTTTGACGGTTAGCCAGTAGGGCTGTACATGCCGCCATTGTGAGGCCAGATATAAGCAACACCTATACTATGGACACAGTATTGAATCTATATGCAAAAATCTCACACGGACGTAGATAGTGTTATGTCCAAGAAAGTTGGTTTCAAATAATATCATATACATATTCGTCAAATTCCTATATATACATTGAAGTTCGCCGCCATCACCAGGCGCGTAGTGGTATCCTCCTAATTCCGCACTTTGTGCTGAAAAAAACCGCGTCTAAGCAGTGACCTTGCTCTTGATAAAGGCAAGAGCCTGGTTACCGTAGATGTTGACGTATTGCTGGTGGTGGTTACCGTCGTTGCCGTTGCAGCAGTATGGGTCCTGAGAGTCGCAGTAGCTCTGGATGATGCTGCCATTGGCGGGAGAGCAGGTGAAGCCTTGAGGACGGGCAGCGAACTGGTTTGACTGTTAGACTCTTGCTGATCAATTTTTGATAATTGGGGACTTACGCCTTGGGCTCGGCAAGTGCCGACGTTGTAAGGAAGACCGGCACGGTTGTGTGGGTCGCCCATGAAGATGGCGGCCTTGACGGCGTTGAGAGCGCTGCCAGTAAGAGTGGAGCCTGCACCACCGCAGAGAGCGTTGTCCATGATTTGGCCACCCTGTTTTTTTGTTAGTACACTTCTTTTTCCAACAGTTTTAGGCACTGGCGACGAACCTGAGAGTATCCAATGAGGACGATTTGGGTGCTGGGGCACTTCTGGTGGTAGGCAGTTACAGCCTTGACAACAGCTGCGGTACCCTGGGAAGCAGAGTTGTCATAGCTGATGCCACCGCAGGCTGATCCACCACCACATGCAGGGTAGACAATGGCCTCTGAGCCAGCACCGGGGAAGGCTGACTTGACAGAGTTGACAAGGCCACCAGCAGTTCCGTATCCGTTGCTCTGAGGAACAGTGGTTTCACGTGCACCGAAGATGTAGACCTTTGGGCAGCTCTGGCGCTCACTGAGTTCGACAGGGCCTGCGGCAGCAAGGCCAGCGAAGACGGCGGCAGCAGTTGCAAACTTCATTTTGACGATGGTGATGGTGGTGGTGATTGGAGTAGTTGAAAGGTAATCGTGTGTGAAGAGCGTGATGGTCACTACAAGGCAGCGAACGTATTCACATATAAAAAGGAAGCTCTGTGCATTACGAGGCCACGACCTCTTTAGGCAGAATTCCAGTCTCCTCAACTAACTTCATATTGAACAGTGGGGCCGAAAACGCTGCTTTGGTTGGTGTGGTACACAAGTGGTCCTTTCATCCGTTGTCGTAATCTATTTGAGTAGCCATGTGGTGTTGATCGTGCCGGGGTTATTGCCGTTGCCGTCATGATTTCATGCAGGACCAAGCCGCGGCAGTCTGGGGTACATATTCACGTTAGTACAATCGGAGAAAAAACGGTCGAAACGAGCAAATTAACGGCTGCGACGTATGAGGACTGCCGGTAGCCGCTCGGTTTATGTGTGGCTTTGCGGCCGCGTGGCCGGCCGATGTTCCGATGTGGAGCCGGTCAACAGTGGCTAAAAGGCTGATGTTGAGACAAGCTTGATTTAAAACCTGGCCGGTCTGGGGTAAAATGCTTATGTCTACGAAACAAAAGGGCACAGATCAACCACAAGTCCAGTCACGGATGGCGTACGGTTTCCGTACGTGCGAAGGGAGCGTAAATCTTGCATTGAAAGATGTGGGACTCATATATAACTTTCACCGCTCTACTCGTATAGTGGTTCCTGAAGCTACTCGACGCTGACTCCATACTTGGATTGTCGAAGTTCTAGATCGTCTCAAAGGCGTATTGATCGGCAGGCAATTAAGAGATGCGTGTCTGTCATTCCAGGTTGTTTCAAACAACCAACAACGTTGCCGTTATGTCCGGAGTCTATTCAATAGGCGACAGTATAAATTACTTGAGAGGATGAATCGAGCGGGAAATCAATATCACCAGCGTCTGGTGAGAGGTGATGAAAGAACGTCGGGCACAATAAGTTGTGGTGTGGTGGCACATTTAGTGCTGACAGGTTTCACGCTAGCTGTACCCCTGGCATAGATGTTGTAGTATACACACCAACGACAGAATCATCCCCTCTATGAGCTCATATATGTGGCAACAACACAAATCATGGAAATGACCGTCCCTCAAAAGCTGAGGTATGAGTAATGTGTAAGAGGAGAGAACCGGAGAGAAGATCTCAACAAGTATCATATGAAATGTAAAAACTTTAATCTAGGTGATATTAACTTGTTTGCGACACAGCCATGTCCGAATACGCACGTGTACATGCCGTGAAACAAGATGAAAACCGAATTCCGTGGCTAGGGTCCGATTTTGGTACGGCTTCAATCGGAATACATCTCCTGTCTTGTCTTCCTATTATTGGCAAGTCAGCTGGATAGACCAGAAGATTTGAGATGAACAGGCTATTCATGTGCGATTCCAGGTTTCGTCCTATCTCCTTTGCAGATGTCTCGATCTCAACTATCTCATCGAGGACTTTCGAGATCAACTGCCACATGTGTTTCTCCTCGAGCACTATGATTCGCCAACGAGAAGATGTCTTGGTTAACAAGCACTACCAGGCTCCTTATCACAGCCTCGTGCTCTGTACTCCACAAAGAGAGCAGTTATGATAGTTCCAGTAGAAACTGATCTTCCAGAAATCCAGGATAGTAGTAAATTTCGTGAGCTCGAAGCATTCATTCCTCAATCAGACCTGTCGGTGACGTGGTTTTCGTAGGGAGGTTGAAAACAGCTTCTCTAGAATTAATAGCGTAGTGTTTTATTTCTAAGAATTATTTTGGGATTACATACATGCTGAGGATAATCACATTCTGGGCTCACTTGAGGGCTAGGGCGACGACGGGACGCAATAGGCGCAAAAGGACCATTCGTGGGAATACACTCAATACACACCACACGTCTTGATGTGGGAAATTGAAGAAATTTCACAATAAGCTGAAAACAATCCTGAAAACGTGAAATCATGAAGACAAGACTATTTACTAGGGTAAGCCGGGTGCCAGCTGTAGACTCAGCCAAGCCGCTAGTCCTGTGACGCTCTAGTGCAGGCCAGCGCCTATCATACCACCACACCGACTTCAACCTTTTGATTCTACATATACAAAACCAATTCGAGCAGGACTTGAAATAAATACCAACGAGATGCTTCCGCCAGTCGATCCAGCTGTATTACAGCGCAATCCGAATTTCGAGGTCTTGTACAAAGATCTTTGCACTAGGAAGCTTAATTCCAATGGCTCAACGCGGGAGACGAAGAAGCAACGCGTGCATGATGAGATTCGCAGGGTATGGCAATTTTTTTTGAATTGATTAAGAAACTATTACTGCGTTCTTTAGCTGCTTCACTGATCGACTCTGTCTCTCAAAATCCCTCTTCAACTTCATGTTTGTTTCTTTGTTTACACCCAACATTGACAATCTCCATACTCAGCCCACCCCATTCATCTACAGCAATATCAGAGTCAAAAACCATCAATTATATAGCAAACAATACAGAAACTAAAACCTCCCCCACAGGCCCTATCCGCAGCCCGCACATCCCTTCTCACAACCCAAATCCTCATCGACACCCTCTCGGACCTCCCCTCCAAAGCAGCCGACCTCCCCCCAGAACTGCACACTCTAATCGACATCGCCACCGCCCAACTCCGCGGCCAAATACCCGCCTCAGACCGCGAAATCCTCTCCGCAGACCTCGAGGCCTTCATGACCAACAGCGACATAATCAGCGAATCCCTCTCCACCCAACTCAGCAAAACCACCTCTCACCTCTGTAAAATCGCCGACCCACTCCAACCCCCTCCCCCCCAAGACCTCAGCGCAAGAGCAAACGCCCTTCAAACCGAAGCAACCCTCACTCTCCCGGATGAGCTCCAAACCGCGCATTTGAATCTAACCCACAGCTTCACCGTCCTTCTAGCCACCCACTCCACCCTCCTCACCACCGCCATCAAAATCCTCGAGCAAACCCAACAAGGCGCCCTAGCCCGCCACACGCGTTCTTCGGCAGACTTACTCCACGCGCGCTCCGTGCTGCTGGGCCTGCAGGCCAAAATCCACACGTATAGTCATCCGCCGCCGGCGGAATTCGTGCATGCGCTCCGCCAGTTTAAGAAGAGTCAGGGGAGCGGGGAGAAGGCGCTGAGGGATCGGGAGGCGCTGGCGAGGCAGGAGATTGAGCTTTATGAGCGTGCGGGGGAGAAGGGGATGAGGGAGTTGGCGAGGAGGAAGGAGTGGATTTTGGCAGAGGTGGCGAGGGTGGAGGAGGAGGTGAGCAAGTTGGAACGTGAGGGGGGGAGGTGATCGCGAATAGTTTCCAGCATTCGGCATATTTACATTTGTTTTCAAAAAAATATTTGCCATGATTTCTCTATTGAACAATCCTAGAAAGATGATGAAGAAGAAACTAAAGAGATTTTTTTTTCACTCAAATATACCCTTCACGGCAACAGCTTTGTACTGCTCATCCAGGATCTCTCCGTCGCCCTCATGCGACCCACTCCAAATCTTCTTGGCACCCATTTCACAAATACACACTCTATCTATGCGCACATGGCGCGCCCATACAAAGCCCTTGTACTTGTCAATCAGATTTGTCGCGTCAAACCGCATCCAGCTCTTTCCATCGGGACCATGACCTTCGCCTGTTGTGGGTGGGGCTTGGTCTTGATCTGCATCTACCGAGCCCACCGTTGATGCTGCATCTTCGTCATCGTCTTGGTCGTGGTGAGCGTCGCCGTCCTGTCGATGGTGAGGTGAAACCTTGTGTTCGATATGCTTCAGCCCTTGTTTGAATTTCGATGGTTTCGATCGTCCTCTCCCCCGCTTGGGCTTTGCATAGATTGTGTTCATGATGGTAGCGTGGAGCTTCAATGGTCTTGTATCTGCGACTAGGAGTCCTGCTTCTGTGAACTTCTCTCTCAATGCAGAGGCAAACAAAGGTAGACGTTGCGATGGATCTCGAGGCTCAGCGTAGAGGATACTCGTTTTGTTTGGTGCTTGCATCGGCACCAGGGCTTCTAGGTCAATGGTCAAGGCATCGGTATCTGGCATGGCTGCAGGAACAAGGTTTTCTCCTATTATCCCGTCCTCGGCAGCCTTTTCAGCTATGCGACGGTGGCTAATGTCGCGGAGTAGATTGTGTACGTCCAAGTCTTCCAGATACTGTTTGGCCTTTTCCAGCTCCTTTGCATCCAGGCTCATTACTCCCAAGGTGAGATGAAGTGTACCTACCGGTCGCACCGCCTTGGTAGGTACTGGGCTATCGCTCGCTAGGTCCTTTTTGAACTGATCCAGTCCTTCTTGGAGCTGCGGCCTACTGGCGTCTGTAACAAGTGGCAGACACAAAAAGTGGGTGAGCAGAGGTTTCTTTGCTCCACCCTTGCCGTTCTTCTTGCTTCCTCGTGCATACTGGCTGGTAGATGCAGATGAAAAGTCTTGCGTTGCAGATCCTTGAAGCGACGTCCTGATTTCCGTATTGTCGCGCAGCTTCTCGCCATCTAGAAAATCGTTGTAGTCGCTTCTTGACTTTTTCTTGCCCATGATTGGCGACGAGCTGTAAAACCGGGTACCTAGAAGCTGATTTGGTGGCTGCTGTGTAAGGATAGAGGCAGTAGCTGGGCTTGCAGCTGCAATAGTAATGCGACAGTTGATTGGTCCAGGAGCAGCTCGACGCAAGATCGTCGCAGCAACCAGCATAAGAGGTCGGCTATGGTGAGCGGAAGTACTGACAATCCAGCAAGCAGATTTAACGTAGATGCAAAAAATAGAGCAAAATAAAAGAACCAGCTGCGCTTAACAAGACACAAAATAAGACCAACGGAAGCTTCGGCAGCGTATAGGAAAAGTGGTGTTAAAGAGGGCGCCTAACCCACGATAATAAAGGTGCTTTTGATGTTGAGCGTTCATGGGTTAGCCTGGTAGCCTATCATCGGGCCTTTGCATGAGCGACGAGTGACGTAGGCCTCAAGGTGGGGTGACTGACAGGCGCCGCTGCAGCCTCCGCCGCCGCTTCGTCTCAAGCGCGTTAGGCGTTCGGCCCTTTGCTGTTCAGCGCCTGGTAGGGCTGAAGAATCGTCTACGGTGCATAGCAAGCGCGTACATCACAAGAAAACTGACCTTGTTTGCCATTTTGAACAGCGTCCAAGTCTAACACATTCTAACGTGGAAATATCAATAAGCCGAGTTGGGGCAAACTATTTAGAATGCAACCTACCCAACAATGGCATATACACAATAAAACAGCCCTAGAAACTCAACACAAGGATGCAACACAGGAAGAGGATTCGTTAAAAATTTTGGGGCGTGGCAGTAGGTAGGGAAGGAGGACCAAAGTCGCGCAGCACTCGTCAAAGTGGATGATCCGGAGCTTGCCTGCCGTGGACGCCATGTATGCCCCGCGGATGAGCATGACGAGTGCGAGACGGGAGCTCGCGCCATTGCTCGGTGGCGGTGGCATGCCCCATCAAGCTTCATCGTCGTCTTTGTAGAACTCCTTAAGGATGTCCTTGACGTCTGCAAACTCCTTCTTGGCCTGCTTAATGATCTTGCCCAAGTTCTCCTGAGCCTGCTCCTCTGTAATGTCCTTTGTGCCTGCGTCGTCCTTCAATTGACCGTAATGTTGGATCTTCTCGCACGAGTCCTTGACTTTGGTGAGGCCGAGCGTGGCTGACGAGCCCTTGAGGAAATGGCCGAGCTCACTAAGCTCCTTGAGGTATTTGCCTTCCTTCTTTTCTCTGTGTCGCGTGTTAGCCGTGGTACTGTGAGGCGATGCTGGCGTGCCGTGCGGGGAAGGGCAGAGCGTGGGCGGAAGTGTGGCGTCATCATGAAGGTGTGCGGCGGGCAGGCACTCACAGCTCCTTGTCCATCTTCTTGAAAGTCTGGTCTGCCTGGCCAAAGAAGTCGTAGACGATGCTTTTGCTGAACTCGCGCTCGTCCTCGTCCTCGTCCATCTCGAGAATCTGCTCAAAGGTGGCAGGGTCGATCTGGTCCTCGGCGCCGGGAATCGACATGATGTCGCCGTTCTGCTGGTAAAAGGATTAGGTTAGGAGGTGAAGATTGCACAGCACCGTAGTGCGGATGCAAGGTGGGCAAGGCAAGGCAAGAACAGTACAGTGGGTAAGGGAGAGACACGTGCTGGGGCGCGGGCAGGACAGAACATGGTGGGGGGGTTCGAGGGCAAGGGCAAATGGAGGGACGAGGGGCAGAGGGGGGGGGCACACGAACCTGTACGTCGGTAGTCGACATGTTTGCTCAAGACCAGACGGCGAAGGCGATAGGGCAGAGGGCGGTGGTGAATCCGGACGACGATGCTGTCGACACCGTATGGGACTGGTGTCGCAGCGAAGAGCAACGATTGGGGGGCGCGAACGGATATTTTTTCGCGCCTCAGCAGTGGGCCGTGCGGCTGTCGGATTCACCTGCGGGGGCTGGATCGGGCTTAGTGGGCGACTGAAAAGGGTCGGCCCGTGGGTGTTGTTGTGAGCGCCGTTGCTAGAGCTGAGGAGGTTGTCCAAGGGTCAGTGTCTAGGGACGATGCAGGGTGGGCAATCGAGTGTGTCTGCGACTGCGACTGCCGAACTACTACGCACAAGAAGGGAGACTAAGTCGCGCCTCTAGACCGTTAGTTCGTATTGCTTCCACGGGGCCGGATGCTGGGCGAAGCGGATGCAGCTATGCTATGCTCGTCACGGACAGAATAGGGACCGAGAGTGGGCGGTGGGTGGGATGGTAAGAGGAAAGCAGTTTTGGCAGCAATGGTCACGGGAATGTGGCTCATATACGGCGGGCAGTGTTCTAGAAGGTGAGGGTTGTGATGTTTGCATCACCGCAAAAAGAGAGGAGGGGGAGAGGGGCAGAAGGGGGGGGGCACGGGATGAGCAGTGGAATAAGGGCTCGATACATGCGGGTGGATACCTCGACGTCAATCGGCAGCCATCAGTCGCCGTTGATCGCCTGTTACGAAGCCGTCGTCTGCTACGCTCTTCCTGGCGGCTGACTGGAGACGACCAACCCCCCCTCCCCCTCGCTCGCAGTCACAGTCATCGGGTACCCGGCCAAAGGCAATGCACCGCACCCAAGTCGTGTGGAGTCGTGTCCTCTGACCTGGCATGTTGCCTGCACCGCCGTGTGCCTCTGCGGCTGATGAGGCTAGCCGAAGCTGTGGCTCCTACCGCCCTGCCCCGTCGTCGGGAGAGCTGTTGAATACGCCCTCAAGACTGAAGAGAAGAGAAGAGCAGTCGAATGTGCGCCAAGAGGGCCTGGAAGCGGTTCGAAAAGGGTTTTCCCCGCGGTAGAAACTCTTGAGGCGGGGTGCCAGCATTGGAATATAAAGACAGACGAGGGTTGGGTTTTTTTCGCTTCACGACAAACGACGTCACATTGTAAGCTGTCGTCATTGCGCATGCGCTTTTGCCAGACCCTGAAATGGGTCTTGCTGGGTTGAGCTAACCACTCCAACGCCGCCTCCAGCCGCCGTTTGGCACTGCCCTCTTGCATGTCTGTGTATCTATGTGTATACTACGTACAGGGCTTGTTGCTCTTAGACCTAACAGCCATGGACGTACACTACAGAAGCCACAGACACCGTCTCAAAAAACAAACAAAGCGACGCCATAGGGCCGGGCACTAAACCCACACACGACAGGCCTGCCCCATGGACCCTGGCCATTGTTTTTCCGTCCAAACCTGCGTCATGCGTGATTCATGCTCTTCCGGCCTTCTCCGAAATGCCATAGGCTGCTGCTGTCTCGCTGCCAACAGCTAGTCCCCTCTCAAGCAAATGGCGGGCGGAGGGCGGCATGGAGACGCCCAGCATCAGCCTCGATGAGGTTTGGTGTGCACGACAGCGGACGCCCTGGCAATTGCAGCGCTGCAGGGTAAACGAGTGGAGCAAATCCTTGTTGCAGTCTGATTGGCGCGACTATGCTTGCCAAACCATGCCTTGAGCGGCACCGGGCCAGTTTTTCTGTTGACCACCAAGCTCACCAAGCCTGACCCGTCTGCATTTCTTCCATGCCATGTCGAACAATGACTCAACATGTCTGCGAACCGGCAGGCTTGCAAATAACCGTAGTAACTCGCCCTAGACAGGCAGCGAAGTCGGCCATGCATGCTTGTCTCTTGCACGCGAGCAGTAGGTCGAAGCTTTTCGGGAACTAACTAGCGCCATGACTGTCTACTACCACACAACAGCCTCCTCACACACACGGAAGGGATCTTCACCCGCCTTCATCGTCTCACCGCAAATACCCAACCACGTGCTGCCTGTGGGGGGCTTCAGTGAGCAAGCACACAATCCTCGATGAAGGATTCCAACCTCTAGTGCGATGCTTCAGATCGGCCGATTCGATCCCAGAAGACAAAAAAAAACAAGACAAGACACGAGCACACCCCCAAGGATCGAAGAGACTTGTCATTTCTCGTATACATACGTACACATTTCATAATCTAGCCGCTCAATGCAGCCGCCGGATCATGCACGGCAGCCGTGAGCCGACCAAAGAGCCCATCATCACCTTGCTTAACCCTTGACCTTGTAAATAGCCTCTGCAAGGCGTCCGACGTTCTCGCTAGTGATACCAGCCACCGAGATGCGGCCGTCCTTGGTGGCATATACAGAGTGCTGTCACGTTAGCTGGGTCTACTATCACCTGGCACGTGGTCTTCAACTTACCTCCTTTGCCAGCTTGTCCATCTGCTCCGGTGTCAAACCAGTGTAGGCGAACATACCAATCTGCGATGTAATGTGGCTCCAGTCATGCTTGCTTCCGAGCTTCTCGAGGTTCTCCTTGAGCAGAGCACGCATGGTGATGATGCGGTCAGCCATTCCCTTGACCTCGCCAAGCCATTGCTCGTTGAGCGAGGCGTCGTTCAGAATCTCAGAGGCAATGCGGGCACCGTGAACTGGGGGGTTAGAGTACAATGGGCGGACAAGGATCTTGATCTGTGAGTCGACGCGCTTCTTCTCCTCGGCAGATTCGCAGACAACAGAGAAGGCACCCACACGCTCACCATACAGACCCATGTTCTTGGCAAACGACTGGGCCAGGACGGGGCGGAGACCCTCCTTGATGAAGTGACGGAGAGCAAAGGCGTCCTTGGAGGTGTCACCGCTGGCGAAGCCCTGGTAGGCCATGTCAAAGAAGGGGAAGTGATCACCCTCCTTGACAGCATCGGCAATCTTGGTCCACTGCTCCTCGGTGGGGTCGACACCAGTGGGGTTGTGTGCGCAGGCGTGAAGCAGGACAATGCTGTTCTTGGGCATGGCCTTGATGTCGGCAATCATTCCCTCAAAGTCGAGGCCAATTGTGTCCTTGTTGTAGTAACGGTACTTCTCGACCTTGAGACCCGAGTCCTTGAAGACAGCATTGTGGTTGGCCCATGACGGGGTGGGGATGTAGATGGTCTTGGGGCCAGGGTAGTGACGCTCGAGGAAGGCGCCGCCAATGCGCAGGGCGCCAGTACCTGAAATGGACTGGGTAACGGCGATGCAGTCCTCGTTGAGGGGCTTCGAATCGGCACCATATGCGAGCTTGAGAGCGGCCTTTGTGAAGTTGGGTACACCGGTGATGCCAGCGTACTCCTTGTCCAGCGCGGAATCGACGACCTTCTTCTCCGCCTCTCTCACCGAAGGCAGGACATAGGGCTTGCCCTTGTCATCGCGGTACGCACCGACGCCTGGGGATGCAGAGTCAGTTACGTCTTTGTTGTGAGATGTTATTCTGGTTCACTGACCGAGGTTGATCTTCTTGGGGTTGCTGTCGGCCTTGAAGGCTTCAGTGATACCCAAAATGGCCTGGAGAGAGCATTGTAAGCTGGGGCGCGGCTATCATGCCTACAGGGAGGGTACATACATCCTAGACGTGTGGATTAGCATTGGCACGAGTCAATTGGGCCGCAGCTTGCTTTTGGCCACTTACTGGAGGGCCCTGGGGCACCTGCGACCATGCCGAGACAGCTCGGACACTGGACTTGAGCGACAGCTGCTTGGTCGCCGCCTGGCGCAGCGCCGTGCGGGATGAGGCGAGCATAGTAGAAACCGGTTACGAGATGAGAGAGGAGAGGCGAGCAGAGAGAAGACGAGACAATGCTTCGCGGATGAAACGGAAGCAGCTGTGACTGTATTAGAGTACGCAGGTAGCTAGAGTGGGTGGTCTGAGCAAAATACCCCAGAAACGCAATAGTTCCCACGCCTCCCACGCCCGCCGCGGAATCTCTATGTCATGTTCCTATGACTCGGGCTCGCACACTACCCCCGTCTCTGATTGGCTATCTGTCCGCTGTACACCCCTGCTCCTTCCGCTGTCACCCATGGTAATTTTTTTTCCTGGACAGTCGGCTGCGCGTCGCGTGAGAGCCGCCTACGTAGTGTGCAACCACAGTAGTAAGATGCACATCATGTAGCCACAATTGCTACACCCGTCTCCTGTTCCTCCCCAGCATGCGACGCGCTCTCACCCAGGCCGGGACACTGCTGAACCATGAAGCCTCAATACCACTGTTCCTCTGTCCTGCCCTACTTAGAGCCCCCATAACCACCACTCGCCGCGGTCCCTCCCGAGCCAGGTCGTCGACAAACTTTTCAACGTCAAGACCAATAAAGGACCAGGTCCGCGCTGCTGTGCCTCCCACCGAAAACCATGATACATCCCCACAGAATCCACCAGTTTCAAGATCACTGCCTCGAGCGTGCCCGGGATGTGGTGCGCCCGCTCAGATTTACGAACAAAATGAAGCGGGGTATTATAACATAGACAGGAAGGCAGTACGCGCATATCTCAATCCAGTCCCAAATACACCAAAAGATACGGCGACACAAGAAGACCATGTGTATGAAAAGGCACTCAGCAACGTCGATCCCCAGTTGCTTGGAGAGTTGGGCATTGCCAAAGAGGGAAATCAAGTCCCCGACGACAATGACCCACCACCAACACCAGTGTGCGACCGATGCCACAGCCTCCTTCACCATCGCCTAGGGTCGCCCATCCACCATCCGACCGTCGATGCCATACAACAGACCATTGCTGAATCACCGCACCGACGCAACCACATCTACCATGTCGTCGACGCTGCCGACTTCCCCCTCTCTATTGTCCCAAACCTCCAGTCCTCCTTGCGCATCCCCAAACTGCGTACACAAAACAGGCGAGCCAAACACAAGGGCTGGGTCGCCAATGACCGTATTGCAGAGGTCAGCTTCATCATCACAAGAGCCGATCTCCTAGCGCCAAAGAAGGAGCAAGTCGATGCGTTGATGCCATATGTTCGAGATGTGCTCCGCGATGCCCTCGGTCGTCAAAATGCGAATGCGCGTCTAGGCAATGTACGCCTCGTCAGTGCGAAGCGAGGATGGTGGACCAAGCAGGTCAAAGAAGACATATGGGATCGCGGAGGCGCAGGCTGGATGGTCGGCAAGGTCAACGTGGGAAAATCAAATCTCTTCGAGGCTGTCTTTCCTAAAGGAAGGGGGGCGGACTATCAGGATGTGCGCAAGATTCGGAGCGCAGCAGAACGAGAAGCAATGCTTAGCAACGCAAAGACACTAGATGAGCTTGTACAGGTCCAACGGCAACTCGCCGAAGAGGATGCTGAGACGGAGCGCCTGAAAAACAAGCCACAGGAACACCTTCACCAACCTCCAGAAGAACTTGAAGAGACGCCGGAAGAAGAAGATGTTGAAGATCCGGATGCGCTCCTTCCCCCGCCCCAACCTTTCACACCCTATCCCGTTCTACCGATTGCTTCTTCGCTGCCTGGCACGACTGCATCTCCGATTCGCATACCCTTTGGGCAGAATAGAGGTGAACTCATTGACCTTCCGGGTCTTGCGCGCACAACTCCCGGGCTAGAGACTTTTGTCCAGCCTTCAGCACATGACGACCTTGTAATGAAGAGCCGTATCAACTCGGAACGCTACACCCTCAAACCCGGTCAATCTCTGATACTCGGTGGAGGTCTGATTCGAATCACTCCCGTAACCCAGGACCTTGTCTTCCTCGTATACCCCTTTGTGCCTATTCACCCACACGTCACTCGCACCGAAAAGGCAGAAGAATATCAGGCCCAAACTTCCGAACGCCAACTCCAAACACCACCTATTCTTGCCCCAAATGTCGGTTCCAAAATGCACTCTGCAGGCAAATTTCAACTCAAATGGGATGTAACCAAGAAAATCGCTGGCCCCGTCACCTCGCCCGTCGCGGGCAAAATGAAGCCCGAAAACCTCCCCTTCAGAATCTGGGGCACAGACATCCTCATCGAGGGCGTCGGCTGGGTCGAGGTCTCAGCGCAGATGCGCAGGCCCCAGGGCTGGTCACCCCCAGGTATGATCAAGAAAGATCCAAATCAAGCCCGACTCGACCGCCAAGCCCAACTCCAGGCCGAAGCCGACCGTAAACAGCGCAAATTCGACGCCATTGCGCGTGCAGAACGTGAGGGTAGAGATCCCGAAGAAGTCCTTGAAGAAGAATTCTACGAAGACAAGAAGAGGGAGCTGATGGACCAGTGGGAAGAGGATTATCCCGAGGTCGAGGTTTTCTCCCCGCTGGGCAAGTTTGTGGGACAACGACGGCCTATGTGTGCTAGTACTGTTAGTGGGCCAAAGCAGATTTCTAGTAGAGAGAGGAAACAGCGGCCGAGACGGAGCATGGTTAGTGTTAAGCGACAGAGAAAGCCAAAGGGTGCGGATTAAGTAGTTCCTTCACTCCATGTACCAATACATATTTTTTTTCCCAGTCATCGATTTCAGGTTATGCAGATAGACATAATAACAAAAAATAACGTATCAGTTCGATAATCTCACGTCTTGCCACGACACGGAGCAACAAAGGCCATGGATTTCTAACATTTAAAATAAAATATAAAAAAAACTCCCGTTACATGGTGAATCCGAAAATCGGTCAATTATATGGGTCTGTCCTCCCCCTACTCCAACCCCTCCATGGCAGGTTTGCATACCATGGCTCGTGATGCGATGCGATACCAACGCCTTGAACGCCAGTCTATCCCATCCTCCCTCAACCCCGTCCCCCCTGGGTATTCACTATCCTCGCCTCTATCACGGTACCCTTGTATTGTCCTGGCTCTAGCGTCAAAGAGAGAGAGAAAACCCCTGCCCGAGGGCTTGTGTGTGTGTGTGTCTAGGCCGCGGCATCCAGCTTAGTCCAGTAGGCCTGCTGCTCCACGGCGCAGTCTCGACCGTTCTTGTCGCAGCCGGGGAAGACGGCAACGAGATCACCTTCTTGAAAGCGGCCGTTGCGTTCGTTTGCGGGGCCGAGAGCGTAGGAATTGAGGAGGTTCTGGGGCACCATTGCGAGTTTGGCGAGGATCGTACCGTGCCATCTGTTTTGTGAGATCAGCTTACTGGATCTAATGTTCATGATTGCCACTGGGTACTTACTGCACGATATGCTCGAGCGCGTGGTACTCGGCCTTTTGAAAGTTGTAACTTCGGTAGATGGGGTCAAACCAGGTGTCTAGGAAGAACTTTGCCCATTCTCCATTTCGGACAACAAAACTGCTCGGCGCCAGGCCGTCTTTGTCTTGGGTGATGACAAAATCTATCCGGTCGCCCTTTAGGTTGCCGAATGTCTTGATGACGCTTTCGGGGGGAACAACGGGGGCGTTGGTGATCATGTATGACTCGAGTTTGGCGGGCGTAAGGAGCGAAGTGTGGATGGGCGTGTCCATGTTCATGATCAGGGCAGTGTGGTCAAGATACCACATGAACATGGAGGTCGGGTGGAGCGTCATGGCATGGCGGATTGCAGGCACGCGAGCCCAGGTGGGTGGGGAGTTGCCGATAGGATATTTGTCGCTGGTTGGGAAGAAGGTAAGATAGCCTAAATACATGTCAGCATTTGCCCAACTGTCGCGGTAATCCGTTGGCTGTGGTGAGGCATACCATGTTTTTTGGCGTATTCCTCCCTATTCCTCTTGACCTTTGCTGTCCATGTAGGATCCATCTTGGGATCCACAACTGTGACCACGACCACAGGCGGACCACTTCCTATCTTGGGCTTGGGTATGTTTGCCGGACCCCAGCCTCCCACCTTTGTGCCTCTTGTGGTAGAACCACTACTTCCACTCAGCATCCAGATGAGCACGAAAAAGCCCAGTATGCCACCAGCGATTAGACGTCCTAGTTTGCTCCGAAGCAAATTTTTGAGAGCTGGCGGTATCGCAATTCCGCTCTGGTTTCTTGCAACGTATGGCGGCGGTCGCGACGTCTTTCGTGGCGGCATGGCGAAATGCATCGTGGAGAGTCTCCGTGGGTAGAGGAGATGTTGCAGTTGGCGTGGGTGGAACAATACGAGCGATGTCGGGTGGCGGTCTGGAAGTCGTTAAGAGGCGCAATCGCTACAGGAACATTGCTGGAGTGTCTCGAGGTTAAGAGTGGCCCCAATGCATGCAAGAGAGGTGCAGATTCAACGGGCGCTGAGAGAGACGGACTACCCAAAGTCCACGCGACGACATGGGCATGCGCTGCGATTGGCCTTGGCAGGAGGGACCTTGCCCTAGCGCCCGCAGATTGTCCCTGGTCATGTTCGAGATGGAGGCATAACGGGCCCTCACTTTTTTCTTCGTTGAGGACCGACATCTTTCGAGCTATGCGCATACATATATAGAAGACGTCGATGTTCTTATCGCTGCGCATCCTGCTGATTGACGCCACACTTGCACCTTGTGCGACTTGTCCACCTTGTTCTTCATCTGATTACTCCCTGTCACCACATCAAGGGTACTTTTTCACCTACAGGCAATCAAAGACATGGCCTGTCGCTATACGAGTAGTTCAAATATAGCAAAACATCCACATCCCCTGTCCAGCGACGGCGCCGCTAGTAAAAGGAGTTGCCCATACCCACCTGGCACGCCGTCCGAGTCATCACGAGATTTGGCCGGACTGGGTACGAGTCGAGATCTCCGACCATGGGAATCTCACCAACGGACGGCAAAGTCCACAATTCAGACGGAAGTCTCGGTATTTTTGCCAAGCTTTGTGACGATTGCTCGCTGATTACCGCCTGAATCTTTGCAGCGACTTTGTGTTACCCGCTATGACGTCGAGTACCTGTCACAGTAAAGAAATAAAACCATTCGAAAAGAATGAAGGGTCGCGGGCTTGTTCACACCAATCTGCTTTCAATTCGTTGATTGTACCCTCTACTCTCTCTTTACTTACTCTAATCCGTTTCCATACACAACTATGGTCGAAAAGGTGATTCAGTTGAGGTGTGACTGCAACCAGTACCCATGGGGAAAACAAGGCTCCAAGTCGCTCGCCGCGACATTGTGCGCAAAGACACCAGGCACAAGCTTCAAGATTGATGAGAATACCAGCTACGCTGAAATGTAATTGTGCAGACTGAGCTTTTCTCTAATAGCTTCTAACATCAGCAGGTGGATGGGCACATATCCCGAGTTACCTTCATATGTTTTAGAGACTGGAGAGGACCTTCAGGATGTCATTGACAAGCACCCCGATGAGCTTATTGGAAAGGCTGTCGTTGACAAGTTCAATCATACCAAGCTGCCATACCTGCCAAAAGTCCTGTCAATAGCAAAAGCTCTACCTCTACAGCTACACCCAGTATGTGCTTTCACAAGAAGAACCATACCCCTTTTCTAACAATGCTTCAGAACAAAGAGCTGGCTTCAAAACTACACGCAAAGAACCCAAGCCAGTTCACAGACCCAAACCACAAACCAGAGATTGCCCTGGCTCTGGGCGACTTTGAGGCTTTCTGTGGGTTCAAGCCTCTTGGAGAGCTTGCACTTTTGATGAAACTCCCACCGCTCCAGGGCTTCATGCCTGAGGTCACAAAGCCAACATTTGACGACGAGCAGTTGAAGCATATCGTCAAGGCAATGCTCACGGCTTCTGAGGATACCGTCCGCAAAACCAACGATGCTCTAATGAAGATACCAAAAGAGGAATTTGGCGTTTCCAGCTACATTCCTGAGATGATTCCTCGTCTGGCAGAACAGTACGACAAGTCTGACAACGGAACGCTCGTTGCTCTCGTCACTATGAACTACTTGAAGCTTAAGGCTGGCGAAAGTATATATATTCCCGCCGATGGCATTCACGCCTACCTGTCTGGCGACATTATCGAGTGCATGGCTCGATCAAACAACGTCCTCAACACTGGTTTCTGTCCCCGTGCTGATCGTGACAACGTCGACATGTTCTGCTCAGTTCTCACATTCTCACCACACAACGCAAAAGAAGCCATCCTGCCGCCACAAGCCTTCGACAGAAGCAAAAACGGCAAGACGCAGATGTATGCGCCTCCTCTTAGCGAGTTCAACATGTTGGCAACAACAATGAGTGCCGGCGATTCCGAGACGATTGGGTCACTCGGTGGACCCAGCGTCATGATCGTAACCGAAGGCGAAGGTACTATGAAGGGCAATGGCAAGGAGTACAAGCTGAGCGATGGTTATATTTTCTTTATCGGCCCCGGCGTGGACCTGGAGTTTAACGCCACCAAGCAGCTGAAGGCATTTACAGCTTTTGCTGAGTAAATCATTGTAATAGTAAGATAGGAATGATGAAATGTGAATGACAATGAATGATTGAGGCTCTCAGGCCGCCACGGAGGTGACGTGAACACCGATTGGAGGGGATTAGAGCTTCCCCGCACTCAGCAATGTGCATGAACACCAACAGCTGACTAGGATTCGATACACTTGAAAAGTCTTATATGCGCACAGTCTGAAAGCGTATGACAAGCCGGAAACTCTTCGGATCCGCACGCATGCCTATTGGGACTTCCCCACAAGTACCCATGCTTCCCCGCACCTTGACTGGGAACCCCCCTCTGCAGCTCAGTTGTAGCTATAAAACCCCGCAATAGAGCTTCATGTTGTGGAAATGGGAAGAGACGTTATTTTTTCTGTTTGTCGATTGCATCTTTGGCTTCGATAAGAATCCTCAAAGAACGTGGTTATTTGGATCGTGGGCGACTGGATCTTGACAGGAACACGCGCTAAAACAGACGACTGACGTTGGAACATCATCCTAGTGAAGCATCAGAGCCGGAAGCATTCGGTAAGCTTATTATCTGGGTATTAAACCAGAAGATTCCCATTGATTTTGATTTCAGTATTCTCAATCTATTTCTACAATTCATTCGCTAACATTACATCTGTCGCGCTCAGAAGAACATAAATTTACCACCATGGCCAGCCCAGCAACCGCAAAACGCGACTCCATGGACGCAACAGCAAACAGTCTTGAGACGAAAATGAAAGCCGCTTCTCTTGAGCAGTCGACGCGCAAGCGACCATTGGGTCTGATGGACCTTCCGCCCTCTATCCGCAACAACATCTACAGATACTGTTTAGACACTGAGATGGTCAACCTGGGCGAGCCAAATGTATCATACACACACAAGATAGGCGACGGTGTGCTTAAATTCTCGGCCTCGCGGAAGCCCTTCCCAATCAATAGCGGTCTCTTCTACGTCAACAAAGCGTTTAGTAAAGACGCACTGCGCTACTTTTACGAGAAGAATCTGTGGGTAAAACTAGATGTATACACGGCAGATGCACGGCACGCAAAGACTTTGCTGGAAGACTCTGGTCTACTGTTTTCCACTGCTCTACCAGACGCTGTCGAAAAGGCAACTCAGCATGCCCTCGAGGTAGTGCTGGTGGAGAAGAACTCTGCGCAGAAACGTGCAAGCGTCATGTTTCCAGCACAGTATCTACCTCGTCTGATCAACTTTTTCGATCAAGCAAGTCGCGCAACGGCAAGTTGGGCGCCCATGCACACACTTTTCTTGACCGTCATGAATACATACGAATTCCCCATTTCACGACTCCAAGGCGACTTGCTCGAGCCATTCAGGCTGCTCTCCAACTTTGGCGGCGTTACCGTCGACAGCAAGAACCTCCTACCGAGATACGCAGAAGGACTGCAAAGCATGATGACAGAAAAGAGCTTCACAGCCGAATCCTATCTCGCCCGCGTAACCGAGCTAGCAGATCTCTCCGACTCTGCGCGCGAAAAAGAAGACTACACCCTCGCAAACGAGTACGCAAACGCAGTCATCGTAGCCCTAACATATGGCTACCTAACCCACCCCGAAATCCTCCACTCACAAGACGAATCCTTCAGCAAATCTATCCAGCGACTCCGCTGGCGCACAGAACTCGGATTGGGCATTTCCCTCTCCATCCCCCTGCGTAGTCTCACATCCACAAAACACTGGATGCACACTTCCAACCCGACACCCGAAATCAAAAAAGCAGCAAGGGATTTACTCCTTGCTGAGACATCAGTCTCCAAAGCCCTAAGTCTGGTTACCGACTCCCCCTCGCCAGCATCAAACCCCTGGTTCCATTCTCTACCTATCGAACTCATACCAAACAACAAGCCTACTTTCTTCACCGAGCGCGAAAAGGCGCAGACGTGGTATGTACTCGGTACCGTGCACATGGCGTTGGGCGAGAACATCTTCGCATGTGGAGATATGGAGCGCGCGCTGGAGCTTTGGGGGAATGAAAGTGGGGTTGATGAGGAAGACGGGTTGAGGGGCAGGATCGAGGAGGCGTTTGAGAGGGCGAGAAAGGGGATCGATGGGGATGCGGAGAGTATGTGGGTTGGGGATATCAGGCCGGGGACGGGGTTGAAGAAGGCGGCGAGGTTGGCGAGGGGGTTATAGTTTGGTTCTTTTATATCAAATACATAATCTGTGTAGAGAGAGAGGGGGGGATTAAAGGACTTAGAGATATATCAAAGATACATGTCTTCGAGTAGCATCAATAAGAAAAAGGCTGGAAGTCTTCTCCCTATCACATTAGAGATTCAAGAGGCAAGCATGCAGCTGATGAAGAGGTACCGTGCGATCGATATTGCTCAAGTTACGTTGTGTACATACGGTATTTCTACAAGGCCGGCATATAAATCGTACAACCCCCGCTTAGGCATGTGGCTGACTTGACGCAGGCTTGTTGCTAGAATTAACAAGCGCAGCCCAAGCATCGCCACGCGCAGTCTTCTCTTGCACAGATCCCTCATAAATACCCTGCAGACTATCAGAAGCAGACGCTTTCCTGCGGCGATCCTCCAACATGGACTCCACATAATCGTCCTGACCACCCGCAGCCTTTGCCTTGATGGCCAAGTCTGCCTTGTGGATTGCCCTCTCAAGGTATCTCCGCCTTTCTGCATCCAGGGTTTGATTGGTGGAAGCGGTTTCAGCCTCTGCAATTACGTTTGCGTATTCTGCTTTTTGCGCGGCCCGGAAAGCTGCCTCGCCACCAGCTGCTTGTACACGAGCAACATATGTGGCTTCGGCAGCTTGCTTGTCGGGCCGAGCAGCTGCTTTCCAAGCCTCTACACTGCCAGCCTCTTCAATCTCTTTTCGCTTCCTCTGGTTGTAGGCAATCTTCATGGCGGTGTGGTCTTTGATATTGGGCAGGTTGAAGCGGTTCCGGATTTCCTGCAAGTCCTCGACGGTGAAGCCGGCCTCTTTGTATCTCCTGTAGGTTTTTTGTTTGAGGAGAAAAGCTGCTTCTTTGCGCTCTTTTGCTCGGATAAAGGCTAGTTTGAGGCCCTCCTCCTCGCTGTCTACGAGGCCTCGGGTCAAGTACCGCTGTGCAGCCTTGACGGCTTTAAAGTATTCGTTGGCAGCAAAGGCTGCGGTTCCCTTCTCATACTTTTCAAGTAGCTCAGTCTCAAGTGAGGGACTCTCAGGCGCGTCAGCTTCTTCTGGTGCCCACATTTGTTGCTCTTCACTCTCCAGAAACTCTTCGCTTTCAAGTCCAGGTGTGCCTTCAGCTGCTTTGCGTGCAGCCATCATCTGAGGAGTTGGCCATTGCTTGTCGATGGTGGCTTGGTCAAGTCCCAGAGCCGCAGCATCGGCTCGCAATCGCTCAATAACCTCTGGCTTCTGCATGAGCGTCCAGCGGAGTGCCCAACCCATTGGCCCAAGCTCTTTGATGCGTGCCACATTGTCCTTGAGTAGGTACTCGTCCAGTCCACCCTCACGGTCCATTGTCTTGAGCACCTTGGCTGTGATGCGCAATTTTATCCTCTTCTTTAATGCAACTGAGTACAGACTCTTGGACAGGACGTTTGGCTGCCATTTCCGCCGAGTCTTGGTCTCGGTATCCTTAGAGACATTGTTGCCGAACCGTATCATTTGCTCGCCATAAAGACCCTTGTTTGCTTGCTTGAACAGCCTGTGCTCGCCATATGGGTATGCCGGAATGTATGCATCTTTGGGAATGACATTTTTGGGAAGGTGGGAGCCGAGATCACCGCCGCGTCGCCGTTGGAGAGGGTTCTTCACTGCGGATGCGGGCGCGGGCGCAGTGGTTGCATACGTTCGCTGCGACTGCTGAGCAGAGCGGCCAACAGCTCCTGCGGCCGGAATACGTCCGGAGAGCAATTGACACCGGGCATGCATGATAGGTGTGACGGGGAGCATGCGAAGTGCCCGTTGTGATGAATAGTTGATGGGCTCGGTGGTCCGCAAATTCGAGAAGCCCACAGCACGGACCCCCAACTTCACTTTCATCCCATGTACAATCACGGGCGGAGCAAACCACTGGGACGACACAGCGGACACATAACAGCTCATTAGGCACAGCTGTATATACGAATCTCGCGCTTCTGTTCTGTCAGGCAAATATAGCAAACATGTCAGAATTTTCTCAACCGTCCACAGCCAACATCGCAGCTGCATGTGCCATACTCGCTGGCGTCACTGGCTATATGCTCGGGCAGGCAAAATCTCTCGGCTTCTTTGGCGGAAGTCCTATTTCACAGCCAGTAAAATCGAAGAAAGAAAAGGCGGACGACTCGGAAGACGAATCGAGCGATGACGAGGACGACAGTACACCAGCCGACTTTCCAGGCCAGGAAGAATGCAAAATGGTCCTAGTAGTGCGAACAGATCTCGGCATGACAAAGGGTACTGCTATTCTCCACTACTAGTAGGACATATCGCCTGACCTTTGATACAGGCAAAATCGGTGCGCAGTGCGGGCATGCGACACTGGCTTGCTACAAGCACTTTCTCCGAACCTCACCAGACTCCAATATACTCAAGCGTTGGGAGCGACTAGGACAAGCCAAGGTCGCGTTGCAGGTCAAGAGTGAAGAAGAGCTAGAACTGTTGCAGGCGCAAGCACTGAGTCTTGGTCTGGTAGCACACATTATCCATGACGCTGGGCGGACACAGATTGCAAGCGGAAGTGCGACTGTACTAGGCATTGGACCTGCGCCAAAGAGTGTCATAGATCAGGTCACCGGGCATCTCAAGCTGCTGTAAGAGTACTGGCTTCGAAAGCTATGCAACACAATTTTGGGGCCTTAAAGTGGACCGGGAGAAAATGGCGACGCGCCATGTCTCAGCGATGCCTCGTATGCATATATGGCGACAAGAGCTCAAGCAAAGGATTTCAGAAAAAACCATTGGCCATGTGCGGAGCTAATGGTATTCTTTACAAACATATCCAAATCGCAGGAATTGCATCTGAAGCACCATTGCAGTTGCGACAGTGATTCCGCGAACATCCAAAAGAAGAGGAAAAGATTATTCCCTGCAAAGATTACACGGAAGCAAGGTGAAGCAGATGTGGGTCTAGCAGCGTGATTTTCGTCGCCTATGGGAGTGTTGGCAAGGACGCGATATGCGCTGGCTCTTGAGTGACGTGTGCTATTTAAGTAAATCTGTCGGTAGCCATAAGGTGGATCACAGCTGCTCAACAAATGCCATTTGCCATGTGCGGATACTAGACGGGTTTCCGCACTCCTCTAATGCATCTTCTGATATAGGGGCGTTCGCCTATTGGTAATGGATTGGTGTAGTAGAAGACGTATGGTGTACCAGGAACGATAGGCATTGAGTTAGTGTTGTGTCAAAGAATGAGAAACTTGTATGGAGGCAATACACATAGCATCTCGTACTATGTGCAACGAGCTATGACTTGCATACGCAACATGTGTACCTTGGTGATGGCAGTACACAAACCGATGAGACGCAGCCAAAGATAACCGAGTCAGAAAAGTACCCTCACGTGGACACTGATGTGTCACATGGCAACCTTCCCCGACCCCGTGACGTTGTATTGGCTGCTTTTTATTCATAGAGTAGGACCAAAAGTTGCGCTGCATCAAAATAGGAACCAGGCGTTGGAGATAGTCGTCATACAATTACTCTATTTGCATCAAAGTCGTACAAGGTCATGCAACAGCAGCACCTTTCCACCAACTCGTGGCGCCCAAGACGAATACCACCACCATGGCGTCGCTCACAACGGTGCTATATATGACGCTGTACCTGCCAACCGTCCGAATATATCCTGCATACGGCTCGGGCAAGATACCTGCGACCGTGCTGAGCATGCCACCTCCTTGCAACTGGCCTTTTTCTATGAAATAGCGTGAAGACTGTAAGATAACCTCGAAAGTAGCGAAGAGATAGAAAAAGTGCGCAAAATTGTCGGCTGGCGAAGACTGGGTGGTCCAGTCATCGTCGGGCACATTGTTGCGTAAGAACTTGGATCCGGTAAACGGTGTCTGTAACACTATGTAAACAGCGAGTCCTAGGGAGAAGACGGAGTGAACCAGGCGCCAGATCCAGGCTGAAGATTGATCGGGCGAGGGCTCAGGAACAGCACCACCACCTTGCATGGCCGAAAGCATATTGGCAAGGCCCGGTGGTGCACCTGCCTGACCAGGACCGCCGGGCATGCTAGGCATACCACCCGCACCCGCGCCCATCATCTGCTGGAGCATTGCCATCATGGGGTCCTGGGCTGGGTCCGAGGCCTGCCCTGGGCCAAAAGGGCCTGTCGGGTTGGTTTCGGAGGCAAAGGGCGAGGGGAGTCGGGGACGAGATATGGGCGTGTAATGATGTTGTGATATGTCTACCTCATCTGGGTCCGGAGTCGCCGTTCCAGACCCGGAGGGTGTGCGCTGAGGGAAAGGGATTGCGGCAGGCTTGACTGGTATGCGGTTAGCCGTTTGTTTTATAGGCTCGGGGGAGTTTTCCGAACGACGAGACTGTACGCACCCGGAACATCCTTCTCAAGCTCACTGATGTCCCTGGGCGGGCCGCCCTGCAGTGCCGTGATCTGCTGCAGACGAGAAGCGCCGCTCTTTGCTGCAAGACGCTCTCTGCGTAGTCTGGCCTTTGTCTGGGCGGGCGACTCGCCAGGCAGGGCGCCCGTTGCGGAGGCAGGCGAGTCGGCCATGTGCAAGTTGGGTGGCGGGCGAGGAGAGAGGAAACTCACAACGATATCCTGACTGTGCTGGCAGTGTTGGCAACAGGATGCGGTCGTGTATTGTGGTCGCAGTGGGTAGTGCGAGGGGCTGAGGTCATGGCCTTGGCGCCGCTCGCTAGCGTGTATGCACCTCGTCCCTCCTTTCACCTCGCCCCAAGCCCCTCCCCCTTCCCCGCCAAGTGCCAGCCGTCTTCTTCTTACCTAACCGCCAGGCCGCCTGTACACTTACGACATGACTGTTCTATCGCTCCGTAGCACACGCGGTACGGGCCGTCATACTAATATCTATCCCATCTCACCGCGTCATCTTGAGCCGCTCCTTTCGTCCTTAGCATTTTTGTATCACTCATCATCGTCATAACCCCCTCAGGGATGGTTGCACGCAGTGCCACCCCAACGCTACCTGGGTCTTCTTCTTCTTCCGGGAATAGTTGGACCCGACGCTCAGGCTTTTGGGCCACGGCAGATTATCCTGGCTACCTTGGTGTGCATGTTAGGCTTTTGTTGCAGCTACTAAAGAGCCTAGAGCTGGATTCGCCAGCTCTCTTGGGGCCTTGATCATCGCAGCCACATCATAATTATTTCCTACCTCCATCCACCAGTGCCCGTCATCAGCTCCTTAACCCAGCGCTTCTAGCGGCGCGGTCGCACGGGAGCGAAGCCGGTTGGTACTGCCCCACGATCCTTCGCATGCTGGTTCTGTGTTCCTTTCTCTACATTCAGCTCCACATTGCTCCTTCGGCCCCTGATGTTGCAATAACTATGTTTACTTGTTATCGGCTCTAGCCCTATCACATGCCACCAAGTCTTCTAGATTGCGCCCCAAGCCCTCCTGCAGGGCTTGTAAAAAGGACACACAAATACTGTTTGATCGAAGGCAGCCCTAACGTATTCTTCCATGACATCGTCGACAGGAGATTGGTGGCGCTCCACAATGTGCCTGCGTGCTTGGAGAACATCTGGCATTCTCCGTAGATCCACACTGGGTCCGGTAACCCGGCTGCAACCATCCAAGCTGCAAGGACGTGTATTCGTTGTATCCACATTACCATTGCGCGAGCAACACTCCGTGCCTAAGGCGTCGTTACACGGCATGTCACAGATTCGACAGGTAGCTTTTCCGCACAAACAAAAAGCAAGTACTTCTATTTATGTATCGTCATTTTTACTCTTGCTTCCATCCCACCTTCACACATGAAGTTTCTATCCCAGATCTCGTCTTCTTCTCTTGATACATGCAAACATGTTCGCCCCAAGCATCAAGTCCAAGACCCAATCCCTACGCCTACACAGCTTTCGCTTAGTGTCATGGTCGCAGCAATATCGAGCCCAGTCGAGTTTGAGCAACAACAATTCCTACTGGAGCCACATTCCGTCTTGGAAAGATGTTTCCAACGATGAATTTGTGTCATATCGATGGCAGGTATGTTGTTTGTATCATCTTATCAGTCTCCAGTTATGCCACATGTATCTTCTTGAGTAGCTAATTCCTTTCCTGTAGCTGCGAAATACTGTCTCAGACAAACACAAACTTTATAAATTCCTTTACGAGGTTCTGCCGGAAAGACTAGGCTCTACCGAGAACGAGCAATTGAAAAGGATCCGAACAAAAAGCAACTTTATCGAGGATGCTGTAGGCAATAATCCTTTCCCCCGTTGTCTTGAATTATCCACCAATACTAATATCATGCTAGATTGCTGCCATCAAGTTGGTACCAATGTCCATCCGCTTAACACCTCATGTCCTCTCGTTGGTTGATTGGAACAATCCTTTGGACGACCCAATCCGGAGACAGTTCCTTCCTCTCAGAAGTGGTATCATCCCAGACCATAAGTATCTCGAGTTGGACTCGTTGCACGAGGAGCAAGACAGTCCTGTTCCTGGTCTGGTACATCGTTATCCTGGACGAGCTTTGTTTTTAGCCACATCAATATGCCCTGTCTACTGTCGCTTTTGCACCAGATCGTACGCAGTTGGCAGCAATACTGATACGGTATCGAAAAAGCCACAGAAACCTAGCCGGAAGCGATGGGAAGTTGTATTCGAGCACATTGCTAACGATGAATCTCTCCAAGACATTGTTGTTTCAGGTGGAGACTCTTACTTCTTGCAACCAGACCACGTCAGAGAGATTGGTGACAGGCTGCTGGACATTCCTCACATCAAGCGCGTTCGCTTTGCCTCGAAAGGACTAGCCGTTGCGCCTGGTCGTATTCTCGATGATTCGGACCCCTGGACTGACAGTCTCATTGCTGTATCCAACAAAGGCCGAGAGTAAGATGCTACATACCCAAGTTAACAGATGCGTTATTGGCTAACTCAATTCTCCAAACTTACAGAATGGGAAAGCAAGTGTGCCTGCACACTCATATCAACCATGCAAATGAAATCACTTGGATAACGAGGCTCGCCGCAAACAAGCTATTCAAACACGGTGTGATTGTCCGCAATCAGTCAGTCTTATTGAAAGGGGTCAATAACACCTTCACGGCACTTTCCGATCTCATCAAGTCGCTGGCCGACATCAACATTCAGCCATACTATGTATATCAATGCGACATGGTACAAGGCATTGAAGATCTTCGTACCCCCCTCCACGAGATTATTGACTTAGACAAACAAATACGGGGAACTCTTTCGGGCTTCATGATGCCAGCCTTTGTAATTGATCTTCCTGGAGGCGGCGGAAAACGGCTTGTATCGACCTATGAGAAGTACGAACACGGCATTGCTACATACAAGGCCCCTGGTCTCCCTGGTGCCAAGGGCGAAATGACGTACACCTACCATGATCCCAAGCCTGTCAAAACAGCCGTCCTCGAAGAGTTCCAGCAACGCCAACTCGAAGCGCTCAAACAGGGAGAGACACTAGAACAATTCTTCGCTCAATCAGCTGCTCGCTTACCGCGTCCACCTTTGCCGAATCCTTCATCGAATCAGAACCCTCTGCGCCCACAACCTACATCAACGGACATCGTCCCAGAATTCTGGGCTCCGACTCCAAAGCCAGCATATACCTACTCTCAGAGAATGTGATTGCCTATCACACTCAACCACAAACATACGAGCCCCACGCTGACCGAGCCGGCTTCCCCAACTGCTACCACGACATCGACACAAAAAGAAAGAAATACGTTTCTGTTGGAATTTAGATTGCATGCTCCTTTTTTCCACAACAGGAAAACAACATGTACAAAATGGTGAGACGGCCGTATGGGACTCGTTCGTGTACTTGTACATACATTTGTACATCGAGTCTTTTGTTTATTACCCCAATATCTTTTCATACCTATTACCCCTCATCTATCCGTTTATAATTTGTCTCTCTAACTCTCTATCTGACTTATGAGTAAGAGTACCGCCTGTTATGGCGCCCCCCCAAAAATGTTTCGGTTCTGTCCTTATAATACATTCACCACAACAACTGTCTTAGTAGATTTTACAATGAAATAGAAGTATTATATATGCTTGCTTAAACTACTTTTTTTTTCTCCTAATATCAATCTGATAATCTAACTGAGCGTATTCCTTATTTAGGCAAAAATCCAGTTTCATCACGAACAACGGGCAAAAAAAAAAAGAGCATGAAGGATAGTAAGCATGGAAAACGCGCAATTTTGAAAAAAGAAGTCATAACGTCTTGAATTCCATATCAAAAAAAGTTAACTTGCACATCCCTTCTTCAACCCTCTACATACGTGCATGTTTGCACTCCCGACAGCCGTTTAAGTCATGTCGACTCGCATCTTTCTTTCTTTCCCAAAATTTGGCGACGAAAAAAAAGACAAGGGTTTTGTCCTGTCCTCACCTCCTCCCCCGAGCGCTACTATGGCTATGCTGCATCTTTTCTCTCTCTCTCTTTCTCTCTCTTCCTTCGCCGCTGCCATCGCCCATATAGTACAAAGAACAGATTATGTGACCCAGGTGGAAATATCTGAGCAAAATAAAACAGCGCGCAAAAAAATCCAAAACAAACAGACAAACAGCAATAACAGTTAGAGTGGGTTATGTGAATAGAAGCACAAACACACACACACACACAAAAAAACGACAAAGATGCCCCATACGCCACAAAGATGAGACGTGAGAGAGAGAGAGAGAGAAGAAAAAAGATTTGCGCAAAAGACAGACAAGAACGGCAACACTACCAAACCAAACAACGCGAATTCCGCCCAAGAAAAAGAGTTGGAAAATGGGGTAATAAATGGGGAGAGAGATCTAACGCCATTGAAGGACTTGCTTTGAGAAGCAAAAAAAAAGTGTGGGAGGGGCAACGCCGCGCTATACAAGAGGTAGAGGGGATGCGATGAAACGTAGCGGAAGCCTTGAGAAGGCGTCGCGAACAAGACCAATGCAAATACACCAAATGGAAGACCAACAGGGGGGAGAGGGAGGATTCCCAAAAAAGAGAAGAAGAACAAGGCTAAGTGATTAGTTGCCTGCCTTCATCCTCTTGTTGCCTCCGACTCTTGGGCTTTGCTTGACTTTTGCTGCGCCATTCATTTCTCCGCCATCATCCATTTCCATCTTTGCTGTACTTCGCCGCCGCTTGTTGTTCATGTTGGGCGATGTATTGACGCTCATTGTGTGCGAGCTGGTGCTTTGCTGCTTCATCATAGGCTGCGAATGGGGCGATGGCGTATGGTTGAAATGAGGCGACCCACTCGATCCGTTAGGAAGCAATGAGTTCTGCATCGCAGGCGACATGAACATTTGGCCGGGTTGGCCAGGTCCCGAGGGTCGTGCTCCTGGTGGCATGTTAGGCTGCATACCTTGGCCAGACTGCTGTCCTTGGTTTGGGCCCTGTGGGCCTTGCAGCATTTGGTTGTTGGACATGGTTGCGTTCCAGGACTCGAGGGCTTCGCTTGGTTTCATGTGAGGGTTCTCGAGATAGTGTGCCATCAAGCTAGTCATGTGATTCATAGGCTCGTAGATCTGGTCTTGTCAGTGTCAATTTCAATGGAAACAATGCGATGCGTAGTCTTACCTCGAGATAATTCTGCAAGCCGTGTGGTAAGCCATAGTCTGTAGCACCGGCACTAATCAGCTTGTTGAGCGGCAGATACGGTTCTGGTGGTTCTTGTCCGGCTCGTTGTAGTGCTTGTTTCTTGTTCTTCATCCTTGGAGATTGGGTCGGGTTCATTTGATTAGGCGATGGCTGCACGAACATCTGTCTTAGAGCGTTGAGCGGCAGGAATTGTTCATGGCCGGTGCCATCGAACATTAACCATTCCATCTTGTCTGACCCAGACCAAAAGGCAGTCAGCTTGCCGTGATAAACGACCTGACATGAGCTTTTGTACGTGTAAATTAACTTGGCTCGATCACAAGTGACCTTAACCTCGTTAGGCCCAACTTTCTCGTTGGCTCCATCCAAGGTGATCTGCAGGTTTGTGACGTCGGTATTGAAGAGAGTATAGAAGTACCGCGGTAGCGCAGCGTATACAATCTCAAACTGCTTGGTTCTCTCTGTACTTGACGAGCAGACCACGTGAATGAAGGATCCAGTTTCCATGAAGAACTTGTCCACAAAGGCTTGCCATCTTTCCACGTTGTTGTTCTTCTTGTTATCCTCAGGTGCCACGTCGAACCTTCCTATTTGATCCGTAAAGTTCAACAGCTTTAGCGTACCCTGGCCAAGAGCTTGCTTGTTCTGTTGCATCAATGCCATGCTACGAGCGTGATTTTGCTGTGCATTTACTTGAGCCTGTGCCTGAGCTTGTTGCATCATCGCTGGATTCCGTACTTGTAGAGTCGCTTGCTGGGGCAGATTAGGCGGTTGAGTGGGAGCGGGAGTCTGCTGCTGCGCTGCTGGACCGGACTGCGGCTGTTGTTGTTGAGCCGGCTGTGGTTGCTGCTGTTGTGTTTGTTGTTGCTGTTGCTGTTGCTGTTGTTGCTGAGCTTGTTGCTGGGCTTGCTGTTGCTGCTGAGCCTGCTGCTGAGCCTGTTGTTGAGCCTGCTGAGCCTGTTGCTGTTGAGCTTGCTGCTGAGCCTGCTGTTGCTGTTGTTGTTGCTGCTGGGCCTGTTGCTGAGCTTGCTGCTGAGCCTGCTGCTGTTGCTGGGCTTGTTGTTGAGCTTGCTGAGCTTGCTGCTGTTGCTGCTGGACTTGCTGTTGCTGTTGCTGATGTTGCTGCTGTTGGAGTTGTTGCTGTTGCTGTTGCTGCGGTGGTGGCTGTGGTTGCTGCTGAGGCGTGGGTTGGGGAGCCGGCGAAGACTGCCCTTGGTGGCTTCCTATCGCTGAAGGGGGTCGAAGAGGGCCTTGCTGGGGCTGCGAAGTCTGCTGAGGCCCTTGGTTTCCTCCCTGACTGTGGTTGCTCGATTGTGATTGAGCATGTTGCATGGCGATGGCCTGTTGCTGCTGCATCTGCTGGTGCTGCTGAGCTTGTTGATGGGCTTGTGCCATGGCAGCCTGGTGTTGTGGCCCTCCAGGCTGTCCCATTTGCTGCTGCTGCTGGAGCAGGTGTGGCGGAAGATTAACAAAAGGACCCTGGCCTAGCTGTCCGTTGCGCATCGCCTGCAACTGCTGTGCTTGGGCTGGGTTCATGTTTGCCATGGGATTTTGGAAACCCATACCCATGTTACCTTGTTGATGAGCAAGCATTGCTGCTTGTTGCTGCTGCTGGCGATGCATGAACGCTTGCTGGGCAGTCCTTTGCTGTTGCATGAGTGCAGGATTCACTGCGGTTCTTGTCAGCCAAACTTCAATGTGGAATGTAGTGGGCGGGGGATATTTACTCATTTGATGCTGCTGCTGTTGCTGTTGCTGCTGCTGAGGAAACATGTGGGCTTGCTGGGGCTGCAAGTGTGAGAGAGCATGGGCATTTGGCCCACCCATGCCACCGGGCTGCATGCCGCCCATCATAGGCCCTGCCTGGCTAACAGGACCATTGGGACCTGAGACGTGTTGCATACCGGGCGGCATTCCAGGTTGTCCAGGGTTTGGGCCTGGGCCTCCCATACCTGGGTGCGCATGAGGCATGCCCTGTGGGTGCATGCCACCATTGTGTGGGTAGCTCGTGGTCATCATCTTGGTATGTTTTTAATGTGGGCCGCGGCCTCGCAGTCGCGGAATAGGGCCTAGGAATATGGGATACGCGCAGTGAGAAGCTCGGAATACAGGATGGCAGAGTATAGATAGAATGAGAGGGTGGATAGCAAGATGGGCAAAGCAACGCTACTGGTCCTGGGTCATACGTGCTCTGGGGGTCGCGTCAAAGGTGTCGTAGGGCGTGATGGGTCAGAGGCGATGAGTGGCAGTGCAATGGTCTCAGGGGAGTGCGAATGGAAGACACGGTGCCGAGATGTAGCAGGGTGACGAGGTGTCCGCGCCGAAGTCGCGATGGGCGCGATGGAGGCCGCTCGGGCGGTGGTCGGTCCTAGGCGGAAATGCAGGCGACAGGGCGAGAGGAGCAAGTACTGTCGCGCAAGAGTGTAGCGCGATACTCACGAGGGAGGGGCGGCGGCGTTGATGTATGCTGCCAGAGCTGGCGCGGTGTCGTGTTCGGTGATATCGTGTCGCATCCGTCCCGCCAGCACAGCAGTGGAGCGGGAACGAGAGGGAGAGAGAAGCGGTACGAGGGCAGCAATGGGCGTGGCGGCGATTCTGTCTATGCACGTCGTGTTATGCGACGGTGCATCTGGTGTAGACTTGGATGTTCGGATCCAGGGCCAGGGACGGTGCCAGGGACGCGGGCGTCGAGTGGTGGAGTTCTGGTGTGGTGAGAGGTGATGGGCGCATGGCCTCGCCGAAGATCAGCGCTGGTTAGGGGGCCGTTTCGGTATCGCGCGAAAAGCTGCGTGGCTGGGCACCCAATCTATCCGGCCGCCAGTGCAGTCAGGCTTCAGACGCAGAGAGAGGGCGCACTGGCGCTGGCACAATCAAAACGACGCCGCACGGCTGTTCGCGTCCTGTTGTCTGCTGATACAGGCCGGTGTGCGCGATAATGGCCTCTTCACCGGCACGCCCGCTGTCTCGCTGTCGCCCTCTTCTCTCATGACGCTTGCTAATTCTCCCGCTTACTGCATCCAGTGCATCA